AACATAGGTCTCCCTGCTGTACCATCTCCTCCTCTGACAGCTCAGTGGCCCTTTCCCACACGCCTTTTCTCCTCTGGATAACCCTCAATGGCATGGCCATTCCTAAGGGGCCAACTTTAATCAGCTTGCCAATTGAAGTGTTGATTGAGAAGGACCCACTTGGGATTAATATTCCACCACTCCAAACACACACACACAAATCTCACAACTGGTAAGGTCTTTGTAGAGCACACATGGGCCTGATTTGTGTACCTCCCTCTCACTGTGCCTCATACATTCATTCATTCCTATTTTCTTTCACATCTGACTACCTACCATGTGCCAGGTAGGTACTTCCAAGAGCCTAAACTAGTAAATCTGCAACAGAAAGGAAAAGAAGACGGTATAGATCAAGTGCCACCATAATGGAAAGTGAGCATCCACCAATTTAAACTAAACCTTTGCTCTTGCCAACTTGGTTAACTCCTGAATGTGTCCCCTTTGCTTGTGTTACGCCACCCTGGAATGCTCTTCCTTCTTTTTTTTTTAATACGCTCAGGTAGTGGAATGCCTGCCCTCTCTCCCAAGACAAAGAGGGGAGGGCAGGGCCCCCCAGAACCACCTTCCCCTGCTTCCTTCTTTACGGGCCCTTCATGGCCCACCTCCAGGCCCTACACCTGAACTCTGACAGGTGAAACCTCAGCCCCTGCTGCATCCAACTCCCTTCACCATTTGTGTAAAGTTATGGAATTTAACAGCCAGAAGAAGGACCCTCAGAGGCAACCTAGTCTTTCCACTCACAGAGGAAAATGAGGAAGTAGTTTACAAGCCCAAGGTCACACAGTACTTCAGAGCTTTAGCCAGCATCAGATCCCAGATACGTACTCCTGCCACAATGCTAAATTGGGTTTCCTAAAACAGGCAGTGTAAACGGCAAGGTCCCTCATACCTTGCTGCCACCTCTAGACATGTTCTGGATACCCAATATTCTTCCTCCTTCTCACTGAACTCCTACTTATCAATCATGGTTCAGCTTAAATGTCTTTCACCCAAGACCCTTTCTAGACCCTGAACACCCCTAAAATGGGAGTAGGTGCTCCTTTGTGTGTCCCTTATCACGGGATATTATAAGCTACTGTTTACTCAGGATATTATAACCTTTTGTATTTGACAGTGAACATCGCTCAGGTGGTGCCGCGTCTATCATGAACACCACTGTGTCTCCTGCCTCCAGCACAGAAAGACTAATTGAATAGAAGCAGTGTTAATACTCTTCATTCATTGAAGTGACTCACTCCTACTCTTACGTTAATCCAGGGGTGAGGAACCTGCTGCCTTAAGGCCACCTGTGGCCTTCTAGGTCCTAAGTGCGGCCTTTCGACTGAATCCAAATTTTACAGAACAAATCCTTTTATTTGTATTAATACACATACAAATTAATACATTTATATTTTTACTTTATTTTTAAAATGAATGCATTTAAAAATACCAAAGAATAAAATAAATTTAACGAAATAATCCTCCCAGATCGGCCGGCACAATTAGAAACAATAGTAAGCCATGAGGGCTAAATTGATGGCTCATGATTTAGCTCTAACTTCCCCCACCTAACTGGTGCCATACTGCGTGAGGCTGGTTGGCAAGAGTTCACGGGGATCGACTATGCTACTCGGTTATCAGCTTTTGACAATGGTGCGCTGTATTTATGTTTGAAATGGAATCTGTGAATAGTTGCACAGCTTGACAGTATTTTTTAATTCCGTCTTATTAACTGCCCATCATGTCAAAGAAGACCAAGAGAATGCTGAAGGAACAAAACAGTTTTTAATGAGGATTGGGAATTGCAATATTATCTCGTTTCTGCTAAAGATAGGATGATTTGCTCACTTTGTGATACTGCAATATCAACATTAAAGAAATTCAACGCTCATCAGCATTATAACACTCATAAGGACCACAATAGATATATATATTTTTTTTTAATTTAATTAATTTATTTATTTTCTTGAGACAGAGTTACTCTGTCACCCTGGCTAGAGTGCAGTGGCATCATCATAGCTCACTGCAACCTCGAACTCCTGGGCTCAAGCAGGAGCCTGCCTCAGCCTCCCAAGTAGCTGGGACTACAGGGACGTGCCACCATGCCCCGCTAGTTCTTTCTATTTTTAGTAGAGATGGGGTCTTGCTCTTACTCAACCTGGTCTCCAACTCCTGAGCTCAAGTGATCCTCCCTCCTCGGCCTCCCAGAGTGCTAGGATTACAGATGTGAGCCACCTTGCCTGGCCAGGACCACAAATATTTTAAATTAGAGGGAGAGGCACAAAAAGTAATACTATAGAAATTAAAAGATGAAAAACAAAGACAATTCTTTCAAGCAGCAATAAGACCTGGGAATAATGCCACTGGAGCAACTTACAATGTAGCTTATATATTGGGGGGAAAGGGAAGCCATTCAGGGATGTATTAACAGAAATTGTGAAAGAATGCATTGTCAAAGTTGTAGGATGTTTAGACTCTGATAACGTTTCAAAGTACAAACAACTACCTCTTTCACGGAGAACCATAACTGATCCTTCAGCATGAATTAGCCTTCTACTTAACAGAGCAACTTCATGCATTACTTCGAAAGGAAAATACATATTATTCAATTTCTTTGGATGGATCAACTGATACTACCAACTTGGATACTACAGAACATTGAGAACAGGTATCTTCAACAACTTTCAAGATAAATGCCATAAAGTTGGACTGAATTTGGTAAATTTAGTGAGTGTATGTAAAGACAGTGTACCTTCCATGACAGGAAAACATGAAGGGTTTATTGCACAGATAAAAAAAGTATTAACAGATTCAGATGCTTTCATTTCTTTTCATTGTATCTTGCATCGGCAAAATCTCTGTGCTAAAGCTACGATTTTAAGTGACACTTTGCAATAAGTTTTATGTATTGTTAACTATAATCTTGCAAATGCAACACGGCATCCTCAGTTTTATAACTGGCTAAAGTGGAAAGAGGAAGCATTCAGTGTAGATTTGCAATATCATTCTAAAGTGCGTGCGCGTTGGATATCACAGGCACAGGTATTAGCCAAAATTTTTTTTTTTTTTTTTTGAGACAGAGTCTCACTGTGTTGCCTGGGCTAGAGTGCCGTGGCGTCATCCTAGCTCACAGCAACCTCAAATTCCTGGGCTCAAGCGATCCTTCTGCCTCAGCCTCCAGAGTAGCTGGGACTACAGGCATGTGCCACCATGCCCGGCTAATTTTTTCTATATATTTTTAGTTCTCCGATTAATTTCTTTCTATTTTTAGTAGAGACGGGGTCTCGCTCTTGCTCAGGCTGGTCTCGAACTCCTGAGCTCAAACAATCCGCCTGCCTCGGCCTCCCAGAGTGCTAGGATTATAGGCGTGAGCCACCACGCCTGGCCCAAAATTTTATCTTTGTGATAACAGATAGTTAAATCTTATGAAGAACAGAATCAGCAATGTGAATTATTGAAAGAAGATTTCTATAGGAATGCAGCATTTCTGTGTGTTATGTCAAATCAAAACGACTTGAATATTCCTTTGCAAGGTAAAACTAAGCCTATATACGATACGTGGCAAAAAAATCCAAGCATTTTGGAAAAAAGCTATCTTTTTTCAAAACACTTCTTTGAAAGGAAATTTTGGATGAACATTTTCCCCAGTTAGCAAAAGTCATTGATGAGCAGGATGATATATGCAAATCATTTGAAGAATACACAGCTGTTATAGATCTATTAATTGCAAAACACAATGAAAGCTTCACTGACTTTGAGAATCATGACATCGTGACACTCAAATTAGCATTTCAGCCTCACCTAGTTGATATCACCAAGGCACCTAAAGAACCACAGATGGAATTGATTGAGCTCTCAATAGACATTTTAAAGTCATTGTTTGATGCTGAGAAAGATTCAATTGAAATATGGAAAAATACAGTAGAATACCCATGCCTTTGGCAACATGCTCGAAATATGCTTTCTTGCTTTTCAACCACTTACTGCTGGGAACCTACATTCTCCTACCTAGCCCAAATCAAGATGCCCTTAAGGTCACAAATGACTGATACCTGTCTAGAAGATCAATTGAAATTGTGGACCTCCACAATTTCATGCTGCAACCAAATATTCAAATACTTTCCAACAAAAACCAGATAAAACAAAGTCATTAAAAAGGTTAGTTAACTTTAAAATTAACAAATAGTTTTCATTTTTTGAAATTATTAAGTACATAGTAGTTAGACTTTTACAAAATAATGTACATTTTTAAGTATATCTAATTGAAATTTCTTGAATGTGGCCTTATTTGATTACAGCTAAATTAATGCAGCCTTCCAACCTGAAAAGTTTCCCCGCCCCTGTCCTAATCCGCTTTCCAGCAGCAATGAAAGAGCCACTACCTTCTTCTAGGCCTAATCAGAGTCAGAGGTGGAGTAAGGAGGCATGGTGTCAATTCCCATTTAGGAGAGAAGGCGACAGATACCAGGGGTTTTGGTAGGATGGAGGGCCAGAAAACCTACAAAGACCGGGGATGGGGGACTGAAGGCCTGGGTTCTAGGCCCCTACTGTGCCGGGTCTTGTGCTGAGCACTGAGGACACAGAAAGCAGTCATGCCGGCTGGCCTTTGCCCTCCACAAACTTCTCACAGAGTCTGCTCTGTAACCTTGGCAAAGTCCTAATCCAGAGCCCAAACTTCCCCGTTTGAAAACAAGGATGACACCTGCTTTCCTTATTAAAGAGAGGAGAGCCATAACCTTTGAGAAAAGATGCACGGGCCAAATATCAATGACTGTCTCGTGCTGTGATGCGCTGTGTCCACTCGGGTCGTACCTGTCCTTGTCTGGGCTTCAGTTTCTCATCTGCACTAGAACCTGATTGACCTGAATAACCTCATGAGCCTGACACCTGCCTCTGTCACCCCGTCCTGCACAACTGAAGCCTGAAGCCCACCTTAGCCTGGCTCGACCCCCTCGCCAAAAGAGCACGTGTCCTGGCCTCACCTGTTGGGGGCGCGTAGGCCCGGGCCGGGGCCGGGTGGGTTGGCCCGGGCCCCACCGAGGCTATAGGGCCACCAGCGGGCCGGTTCAGGAGGCGGCGCCCGGGGTCCCGCAGTCGGAGGCAGCTTCTCCACATCGCGCCCGAGGGCCTGAAAAGATGCGCGGCGCGAAACCTGGGAGCAGAAAACACAGAACGAAGAGACCCCCAAGGCGCACGCTCGGGCTGTACGGAAATCTCACTGCCTCTGCAGAGCCCTCAGCCTCCCACGGACGCCGCCATCTTCCGCATGACACCAACGGCGCGCCGTCGCTGGAGCGCGCTTCCTGCGCACCACCCCCGTCAATCAGCATCACAAACGCACCTCGCCCCGCCCCCTTCTACACCATGCCTCAGCCAGAAGACTACAAGTCCCAGCGGGCCTCTCGCGCACCCCGCCACGTGTTTTCTCTGCCCGCCAATGGGCGGAAGCGCCGCGTGAGCCTGTTCCCGCCCTCCCGGCTCGCCCGAGCCAATCGGAAGGGGTGGTGTGTGTGTGAGTGTGTGTGCGAGGGCAAGTGGGGAGGGGGACCCAGCTCAGGACGGGGAGGCCCTGCTCGCAGGTCTCGGGGTCCCGGTGGCTGCCTAAGCGCTTGGTCCGCAGGCGGCGGGCAGGTGGTCCCCGCTCCTGCTCCCTCCCCGCGCGTGCGCGCCCCAGCGTCTCCCTCCCCGCCACCCTCTCGGCTCCCGCGCGGCGGCGGCGGTTCCTCTCCCCCTCCCCCCAGCCCTGGCTCCGGGGGACCCCGCGATGCCGGTCCGCACCGAGTGTCCCCCGCCGGCCGGTGCCTCGGCTGCCTCCGCGGCCTCACTCATCCCACCGCCGCCCATCAACACCCAGCAGCCTGGCGTGGCCACCAGCCTGCTCTACAGTGGCTCCAAGTTCCGCGGCCACCAGAAGAGCAAGGGGAACTCGTACGACGTAGAGGTGGTGCTGCAGGTGAGCGCCGGGCCGGGCTGGGCCGGGGCCGGAGGGCCTCCTCGCGGCGCTCACGGACCATGCCCGCTCTCGGCTCCTTGAACCCGCAGCCGCAGACCAGGCCCTCGCCGCCGGGGCCTCCTGCACCCAGCGCTTCCCACCCGGGACCTACCCAGCTGGTGTCTCACACTCTGAGCCCCAACCCTGACCTGTCCCCTCGGACCCGAGCCTGTCGCGACCAGCTCCTGGCCGACCCCGAACACTCTCCCAGACTTGAAGCCCGTGACGGCCCACTGGGGATCCGGAAGCCCCCATGACTGGCTCCCCTATGGCCTGGATCCTTCCTCCCCGTGACTTGTTGTCCCTAGACCAGCCCTGCCACCAGTCCTTCTCAGTCCCCGAGGAACTCTCTATTGGTTTCCCCAGACTCGGGACGCTTCCCATGGCTGGGCCCATGTCAGATTCTCCCAGACCTGAGACGTGCGCCCCCCTTTCCTCAGTCCCAGGAATTCTCAGACCCTGGGGTTTTCCTCTTCCTGAGGTTTCCTCCTCAGGAGAGTTTGATCAGCTCAGACGTGGGAGCACCCTGCTTCCATTGGTTGAGCATCCAGTCCGCAACTGATTGGTCAGACTCTGGGCCTTCTCAAGACCACGCACTCCCTGGGTGCCGCTGGGTGGGGCTCCCCACAGTCTGTTAGGATCTTGCCACCCACTGCTTCAGTCTCTTGTGGTCTGGGCACCCAGCTCCTCCCAGCTGCCCCCAAACCCAGGCCTCCTGCCACAGGCTTCTCACACTCCCTCCCCCTGCTCTGTGACCATGTCCATTCTGCTCTCGATGGCCTCTCCACCAGATTTGCCCACTGCGTATCTTCGTCTTTCTCATTCCGGGTTCCAGGGGTCCCTCTTGCCGTGTTCTTAACTTTTCTTTACACAGGGACAGGGCTTCCTCCCAGTCTCTGATACCCACGTGCTGGGAAACCTAACTCACTCAGTTTTGTTTCATGTCCACTCACCTCCCCCCATTTGACCTGGATTTCTGAGTACCTGCTGCCAGTCCCTGATCAGCTTTGGAACTGCAGCTTCACCTGCCTGGCCCTTACCCCTCTCATGCATGACACTTTTTCCCAGACAAAGGGGATTGGTGGTAGTGAATACTCCTTTTTATGTCGCTTCTCTGTACCTACCTGTGCCTACCTGAGGACCCACTTTCCCCTCCCTTTTGCTTCTTTTTCCTTAGTCTGACACCCCACCTCCTAGGCTGTTCCCAAAAGCCCCTCCAAACATCTGTCCCCTTGAAAGCCATTCCAGAATCTTTGAGGCTCTGTATGCTGCCTCATTGCCCTGGTGTGTGACGATAGAACATACAATGCGTCTGTTCCTCGCGCTTTTGCCCTTCTTAAATTTTAAATCTTAGCCTCGCTTCTGAACAAGTAGGTCTCCCACCTAAAATACAGTGAGGGTGCCTTTTCTTTCTGCCAACTATAGAGCACTCATCACTCTTTTTCTTACTGCTTTATGGGAATAAGTAGTTTTCTTTGGTTTTGATTAGGAAAACTGCACCTTTATGTTAAGTGTGTCTTTGGTCTATAAACTTAAAGTTCTATTGTGAGCCATGATATTGTAATTGAAAAACTACTATGGCTGAAATATTTCCATCTTAATAATTATATGCCTAATGTGGTGATTTTTTGTTGTTGTTGTTTTGCTTAAATGTGGGAATCTAGTATGAAGGTATGAATTTGTGCTCATTTTTGAATTTGACAGTTTCTGATGTGGTAAGGTACAACGGGCAGAGTAGCTAGGCGTCAAAGGGAGGTCTGCCTTGGTTACTGCGGCAACTCCTCCCTCCTGTCACCAGTGTGTTGTTTCTGAACTCCTGTCAGGGGTCAGTCTCCTTGTGAGCCAGTGGAAGATGCGGTTAAGTTGGAGTGTAGCTGAACCTGCCCGACATCTGGATTGGCTAGCTAACTGATTGTTCACCAGTCAGTGGCATGTGAATTGCCCCATCACCTGGTTTTTCAGCCAGGACTAGTTTCTCAGACTCAGCCTTCTTAGGATACTCTTCCTGCCTTTTTTTGTTTTTTTAGACAGAGTCTCTGTTGTCTAGGCTAGAAGCTCACAGCAACCTCAAACTCCTGGGCTCAAGCGATCCTCCTGCCTCAGCCTCCCGAGTAGCTGGGACTACAGGCATGTGCCACCATGCCTGGCTAATTTTTTCTATTTTTAGTAGAGATGGGATCTCACTCTTGCTGAGGCTGGTCTCAAACTCCTGAGCTCAAGCGATCCTCCTGCCTCAGCCTTGCAGAGTGCTAGGATTACAGGCCAGAGTGCTAGGATTACGGGCATGAGCCACCATACCTGGCCTCTCCCTGCTTTTTATAACTCAGCTTCTTTTTTCCTTTCCTTCTTTTTTTCTTGTTTTCAGTACCTTTATTTAGATACAATTCATCCATTTACGGTGTACAGTTCAATAGTTTTTAGTATATTCACAGAGTTGTGTAAACGCCATCACAACCCAATTTTAGAACATTTGTATCACCCCCAAAAAAATCCTCGTACTCTTAGCCATCACCTCTTTCCAATCCTAGGCAACTGCTAATCGGGGTTGGTGGGTTTTTTTGTTTTTCTTTTTTTTTTAGTTTGCCTATTCCGGACATTTCATATAAATGGAATTATACAGTCTTTGTTTTTTTGTGACTAGCTTCTTTCACTTAGCTTAATGTCCTCAAGGTTCATCCTTATGGTAGCATGTATCAGCATTTCTTTCCTTTTGATTGTTGCATTGTTCATTGTGACAATTGTCCATTCTATGGATATACAGCATTTTGTTTATCCATTGATCAGTTGATGACATTTGGGTTGTTTCCACTTTGTGGCTATTATGAATAATGCTGCTGTGAACGTTTATGTACAAGTTTTTATGTGGACATACATTCCATTTCTCTTCAGTAGATGGATACCTAGGAGTGGAATTGCTGGGTCATATGATAACTCTATGTTTAACATTTGACGAACTGCCAGTGATTTCCAAGCGGCTGTACCGTTTTCCATTTTTACCAGCAGTGAATGAGGGTTCCGACTTCTCCACATCCTCACCAACACTTGGCTGTTGTTCATCTTTTTCATTGTAGCCACCCTACTGGGTTTGAAGGGGTCTCTCATTGTGGTCTTGATGGGAATTTCCCTAATGACTAATGATGTTGTGCATCTTTCATGTGCTTTTTGGAGCACTTTGTTTTTTGAGATTTCAGTTTAAAGAGTTCTTCCAACCTTTGTGAGATTCTGACTGGGTCTTTTTCTTTTTCCCCCTCTTACTGTGACTACTTTTTCCTCCTCTACCATTTAAGAATCCAACAGTAGGATGAGGCCCAGGTCACTGTGAAAGGAATATTAAAAAGAGCAGCCGTTGGACACAGCTGTGCTGCGAGACCTTCTAGCTGAGCACGTGCCCTGTTATCTTTCTCATTGAGATGCTGGCCTGCCGTTTGCCTAAGCCATACGCGTTGCGGTGTGAGTTCACCAACCATCTTCAAGATCAATTTGGGCAGAATGGGAGAGACACATGGTTGAATGGAGGCCAAGCTGAAATTCTGATTCTCAAGCATGTGATAATCCATGCAAAATGTTAGCCAATTTACAGTTCAATTTTTAATCGTGTTAGCAAGTATCCTTGCCACCTGATACCCTTTGCAGCAGCTGTGAAACCCCAAACTATATTGAATTCAATGAGAATTGCATACATGAAATTTAAAGCTTCAGGTTAGTATTTTGTGTCCTTTAGTAAAAGTTCTTTGCTGAACCATGTTAGTGTGGTCAGCTGTTTTAGATAATGTCCAATGCAAAGATCAGCTGATGAGGATATTTAAAATGCTTTGGCAGTTTTCACATGGAATACCTTTGTCACCAGCACCAAACTGTAAAGGCACTTTGGCTTCGTTGAAGCTCGTTTGCTTTGGTGCTGACATCATCTGGCTGACTAAGTTCATTACAGGTTTTAAGGATTGCCTTAGTATTTGATTTATGGTATAATGATTTTTTTGTTTGTTTGTTTTTGGAGACAGAGTCTCACTTTGTTGCCTGGGTTAGAGTGCTGTGGTGTCAGCCTAGCTCACAGCAACCTCAGACTCCTGGGCTCAAGCGATCCTCCTGCCTCAGCCTCCGAGTAGCTAAGACTACAGGCGAGCACCACCACACCCGGCTAATTTTTTCTATTTTTAATAGAGACGGGATCTCACTCTTGCTCAGGTTGGTCTCAAACTCCTGACCTCAAGGTTCAAGCAATCCTCCCGCCTTGGCCTCCCCGAGTGCTAGTATTACAGGCATAAGCCATTGTGCCCAGCCTGATTTACTATATAATTAGAAGTAGTTGAGTTCCTAGATCTGATAAATGCCACAAAACCTTTCTAGTTTCTTGAAACGATACCTCACTTTACATTAAAATCTCAGTGAGCTACAGGTACCATTGTACTTTGTTTTGCTTTAATTCAGGATTTACTTTGTAAGTGAATCCAATTGTCTTGAAATCTGAAACTCAGCCTGTTCAGGATGAGTCTGTATATATTCGGGTGAAATGTACTAGTTATTACGCATTCAGCTGCAAGTAACCATATTTTGCATTTCAAAGTAGCTTAAAGAATAAGCGAGCCTATTATTTCACATTACAAGGAGTTTGGAAGTGTCGTGGCCCCCAGCTGGTTAATTCAGGGCCTATGACAGGTCAGTTCCTTCCATCTTTCTGTGCTGCCATCCTCAGCATATCCTGGCCTGTTTGTCCTCCTGATCTCTAGATGGTTGCCTTAGGACTGGGCACTGCTTGCAGATGCTACCACCACCAAGGGAAGAAAAAGCCATTTCTTCCTCATGCACCTCTTCGAAAGCCAGTGATCTCTCCCAGATGCACCCAGGAGACTTACACATAGGTCTGATTGGCCAGAATTGGGTCACTCACCCCTAAACTGATGACTTGCAAGGGGATAGGGGCACGTGTTTACCTTAGATCATCAGGGTTAACCAGGCCTTATGGGGTAGGGTAGGTGCCAGAACAAAATCTGGGCTCTGCCCAAAAAAAGGAGGAAATTGGTTGTTGGTAGGCATCTGGCAGTCTCTCAGCAACTAGTAATTGGTGGCTACTAAGCCTCCAAATCTACTGGGTCTGCCATTTTCATTTATTTTAGGCTCCTGACTCTTTCCATTAAGAAACACAACATCTGTATGTGAAACAGACAGAGCATTCACAGTATAGTCAGATTTTTGGTTGGCATTTGGTTCATAACTGGAATTTATCCCATATAAAAGTCTTTATAAGATGCTGTTTCTGAAAAGCCTGCGCATTTCATAAAGAAATAATGCAGGATCGGGGGGAGGGGGGGACGGGGGGCAAGGGCAACATACGTAACCTAAACATCTGTACCCCCATAATATGCTGAAATAAAAAAAAAAAAGAAATAATGCAGGATGATGCATAATGTAAAAAAATAGGGGAGGAGTAGACTTCCTAGACCAATGACTGAGAACATAGAAATAGAAATAGGTTAGAAAGACATTGAAAAGAGAGTCAAGTCCAGGATTAGGGGTGACACCGTATGTACAGGTAGAAACAGAGACCTCACACCCAGCAATGCACAAGGTCTGTAGATGACTGAGAGACTTGTGTTGAAGATAGTGCAGAAAATGAGGTTTGAGCAAGCTCCCTGTTCCAGAAAGGCACTTTAGCCTCAAGATATTCACCTGAAGGAAGTTGAGAGGGTCCTGGGATCAGTTTGCTATCACAGAACAGGCCTGTGTAGGGAGGACTTGGGAAGATTCCGAAGGCCAGGTGAGCCCTGGGTTGTGCCGGGTGCACTCTGACCACCTGGTCACCTACCTGGCGTGGCGTCACAGGATTTCCAGAGTACCCCTAGCGTGTCTCCTAGTGGGTTCATCCATTTGTAACAGGTTGTGTGTCCTTTCTTTCCAGCATGTGGACACGGGGAACTCTTACCTTTGTGGGTACCTGAAGATTAAAGGCCTTACTGAGGTAAGCACTCATCACATGAACTAGAACTGGAGAATTGGTGGCACACTCAGTGGTCTCAATTCTTTGAGACGTAATTAGACTATTTCTAAGCATTGTTACTGTTTGGGGAACATAAAGCTGGTAGTTTTGATGTGTCCTACTGGGAAATATACAGATTCACAAATATTTTAAAGAAAAGTTTATAGGTATTTCACAATGCTACCAACACTATTGATTTTGTTTTTAATCCTTTTTGGGAAAAAAGCATAGTAAGACTATAACTACCACCCTCATCATAAATTTACAATTTCTGAGATAAACCTCAGTCATACAAGAATTGAGGTTTTAAGTTCTTTAAACTAAACCCCTTAGTTCATCGGAACAATGAAAAGTGACCATCCATTTTCTGACAGAAGTACCTGCTATGTCAGAGTAGAGTGTTTCCTTTCTTTGAACCAACTTTTTAAACCCCAGAACTCCTGGAAATCTAGAAAGCAAGGAAACAGGAAGCAGAAAGAGGTGGCTAGACTGGCCGTGGACTCCACCATGAGTGCCTGGGCTGGACCTGGCTATAGGGCCTTTGGCCTTTTGTCAGCTCTCATGGCCTTGATGACCCAGCAGTATTTGGATGGCGAGCTGTGCTGGACGGAGCAGTGGAAAGGGGCTGGGGCAGCATTCTCACTCTGCCCCTTCCTGCATCTATGACTTTTAACTTCTCATTTCAGTGTCCTCATATGTAAAATGAGAATTAAAAATCCCTGCTGCAGAGCCAGCACAGTGGTGTGTGCCTGTAGTCCAGCTGCTCAGGAGGCTGAGGTGGGAGGATCAATTGAGCCCAGGAATTCCAGGCTGCAGTGAGCTATGATCATGCCTGTGGATAGCTACCTCACTCCAGCCTGGGGAACATAGTGAGACCTTGCTTTAAAAAAAAAAGAAAAAATCCCTGCTCTGTCTGTTCAGTGGACTTGTCCTGCAGGGAGGAAACGATGTTAGAGGAAGTGGCAGACTCGAGTGTGATACTAATGTGGGATACTGTTATAAAATCCTGATCCGCCTGAGTCTTGAGACAATTGTTTCTGCCTCCTTGATACCGTCTGGTTCTCCTCCTTTTCTATTAGAATTCTATTTCTATTAGAATTTGAGAGCTCAAATTCTTAAGTTTGATTGAGAATTTCCTATAATGTTTGTCGTTTAGACAAAAGGTACCTTCTCCACCTCTAGAAATGTATCCAATCAAGTAGGAGTAGAAAATGATAGCAAAGTAAGGGGTTCTAACCTTTGGGTTTGTGCTAAGAGAAAACATACTAAAACAGAGTATGTTCAACTATTAGGCAGCCAAAGGCATTTGTTAATTGGGTGCAAAGTATAAACATTCAACTTCATAAGGAAAGCTGCAAAATACATAAGGTGTTGGATATTAACACTAATTCCAAAACCAGTCATTTGGGTGATAGGAAGCTGCACAGATATGGTAAGTAGCATTAGAAATCTTGAAATAGTGTGCAGAAAGGCTAGCAGTTGTAACTCTCCACCAGGAGCAAGTAGCCCTTACCAAGGGCTGTTGCTCTGAGTCGTGAGCAACAGTCAGGCTCCCTTGAGGAGGAGGTACTGTACTGGCACAGCCCTTCCTTGAGGGCCAGCCCAGGGGGAGCCCTAATCTCTTAACTACAGAAACTCATCCCTCCTGGCAGGTCTTTGCTCTGCAGATGGAGTGGCCTCCACCAGCACACACCATCCCCAGGGGCACCCGCTCCAGAAGGAGCAGTGGACTGGGTTATGCGCTGCCTGATGAGCAGGTGGTTAGAGCAAGGCCTGCACAGGCCCAGGGTGCTTAGATTTCTTTTCTAATAACTTTTTTTTCTGTAGCTTTATTGAGATATAGTTCACATACCATACAATTTACCCATTTAAAGTGTACAATTCGGCCAAGCATGGTGGCTCATGCTTGTAATCCTAGCACTCTGGGAGGCCGAGGCAGGAGGATCTCTTGAAGTCAGGAGTTTGAGACCAGCCTGAGCTAGAGCAAGACCCCGCCTCTACTAAAAATACAAAAATTAGCCGGATGTGATGGCACATGCCTGTGGTCCCAGCTATTCGGGAGGCTGAGGCAGAAAGATCACTTGAGCCCAGGAGTTTGAGGTTGCTGTGAGCTGTGATGATGCCACGGCACTCTAGCCTGGGCAACAGAGGGAAACTCTGTCTCAAAAAAAAAAAAAATTAAAATTAAAAAAAATAATAAAATAAAATTATAAGTCTAATACATGGTTGCCATAGATAATTAGTAAAATTAGTAAAAAGAAAACTTCAAGGAATCTTTTGAATGAATTTTTATACGTATATTATCTGTTTTTGTTTGCTTTCCCATATATAGTTGCTAAAATATCAGATATATAATTTATTTTAATCTATTTAAATGGTTTGGGTTTTAGTTGTAGTAGTTGTCTTCTTCATGTATATGGTGTGGAAAATTAACTATTGAATTGGAGATAATTTGCCTCTTAGCCACCTCACATTCACAAACAAAGCACAGCTTTAAAGTTTGTGTGCCTTCTAGAAATGAAATCCCAGAATTGTAAAGAATGGATATTAAATAACACTGTCTTTGCATTTTGGAGCCAGTGACTAGTCAGGAAAGGAGACCTTTCCTGGGGAGCTCAGCAGCTGGTGGGGGTATCTGGGAGCCCAGCCTTGCAGGGGTCATGGTCAGGCCCTCCCCTAACTCATTTGATGTGTTTGGAAAGATTGGAAGCTCCAGCTGAGGTTATGCTAGACTTGTTTGGAACCAGAGAGACAGGTTACACTAACCAAACTCACAAGAGACTGATGTATGAACAAATGTGCTGTTAAGTCACAGAATGAGGTATATGCATATTCAAGAAGTGCTGACTTACTGGCCAATGGAATGTTAATCTTTCAGAAGACAGGTCTACTTGGAAAGTCAGGGCACCCATCAACAGACAGTTTGGGGTGAGCCTAGAATCAGTGAAAGGATTTCTTGGAGAACTTAAATGACTGATGACAGCTAGGCCTGCTGTGGGAGGCCCATGCCCTACCTGGGGTGGGGGCAGGGTGGGGGTGGTTGTAGGGGAGGTGCTGGCTATAGCTCTCCCTCTCTGACTTGTTTTTTTTCCCTGATATCCCTCCTGCTGACATGGTTTTTTCTTTGGCTCTGTAAATTAGCTCCAATTTGGCTGTAGTCAAGTGCTTGAATTTCCTGTTCCTGCTCTGAGAAATATTTTCTCTTTTTTGTGACTTCTGTACATATTGAATCTCATTCATTACGTATTTATTTTATTTAATTCTCAGAGTTTCAGGGTAGCCTGTAGCCACACTCAGTACTGCTTAAAGTGTGTTTAGAAAGAAATCAGTGCAGCATCACTTATTAGGGAAACTAGTGATTTAAACCAGCAGTCCCCAACCTTTTTGTTACCAGGGACTGCTTTCATGGAAGACAGGCGGTGATGCGAGCAATGGGGAGCAGCTGTAAATGCAGGTGAAGCTTCACTTGCCTGTCGCTCTTCTGTGCAGCCGGCCCCCTCACCCCCATTCCTAAGTTTCATGGAAGACAATTTTGCCATGGCGGCGTTGGGGGGTGGTGGGTGCGGAGCTCTGTGGCCCAAGGCCTGCAGATTTAAACCATAAGTGTTTTAGTTTGAGGGGTGCGTTGGTTGGTTGGTTGGTTGGTTTTTACAAGGGCAGAGTATTGGTAGACTTTTTACTGTTTCAATTTTTTGTGCCTACTTATTAGCACATAAACAAAGAGCAAATAAAATTCGTGACACACTCCAAGCAGCCATGACAGCTTGCTTATTTCTTCAACGGCATGTTGCTTAATGGTTGTGATTTTACATGGCAGATGTGATTTGCATATATTTTCTTTCAGATAAATTGTTCTTAGTTCATATGATAGAATTAGATGTATACCTATATGTCAAAGTATTCTACCAAAAATCCACTTCTGGAAATCTGAAGAATTGGTATAAAAGGGAGAAATGACTGAGCCAGCTTGAGAGCTAGAGGGGTCTGTGGTCTGATGGAGGCTTAGCTGTCAGTGTTGCGATTGTGGAGCCTCTTTGAGTGTGTACCTTGGAAAGTAAAATCTACTAAGTTATTTTGTGCTTTGTGTGTTAGAACATTCAGGGCATACTTGTGGAAATCATTCACATTCTTTTCTGAGAGACCAACACGTGGCAACGCCTCACAAGTGAAGTCAAAGAAGGGTTCTGTGCTTATAGCTAAGTCCAAGAGACCCCGGGCAATTTAAATTCAGATTCATTTCCACAGCCTCTTGGTAAATCAGCTGGATCTAACTCCGGTTTGGACTGTCAGTTAGCAATGTCAGAGTATTGGGAAGAAGTTAAAGAAAAGCTGATGCTTCGTAAGAAGGCTGAAACTCTCATTCAACATCTTGTTTTAATATTTGGGCTTTCACCATAGGAGTACCCAACCCTTACGACCTTCTTTGAAGGAGAAATAATCAGCAAAAAACACCCTTTCTTAACTCGCAAGTGGGATGCAGATGAAGATGTTGATCGGAAACACTGGGTAAGTCAGTCTCTGATCTGCTCTGGTCGCCAGGGACTGCTGGAGCACTGAAGAAGTACTGGGAGCCAGAGACCTCATTCCTTATATTGGGAGTTACGGGGCTTTGCAGCCACATGGATGCCGTTCTGCACTCAAACCTCAGTTGTTCCACCTTCCTTAGGAAGAGAGTTTGGATACTGCCTGACCTGCTTGTTAAGTAGCAAGTGGTTATCTAATAAGAGCAACCCCCATAGTTCCAGCAAAAACTTTGTCTAGCTGTCAGAATCTTCACAGTATACCCCTGTCCTTCCCACCTGTTTGTCTGTCTTCTGTCCACCGTTCCTTTCTAATCACTTCCACTTGGGGAAAACCCTGTGGAACATGCAACAGTGACCCCTGACTGTAGGGTTGGCATGAGACAGAGATGCTGTTCTGGGAAGCTGCCCTCCCGCTGGCTTATCTGTGAGGGCAGAGCCGCATTGTTTCTTTTCACCCGGCTCCTCGTGGACACTGTACAGTCTTAAACACACCACTGAAAAATCCAGGCTCCCCTCTTTTTTTTTTTTTTTTTTTTGAGACAGAGTCTCGCTTTGTTGCCCGGGCTACAGTGAGTGCCGTGGCATCAGCCTAGCTCACAGCAACCTCAAACTCCTGGGCTCAAGCAATCCTTCTGCCTCAGCCTCCCAAGTAGCTGGGACTACAGGCATGTGCCACTATGCCCGGCTAATTTTTTTTTTTTTAGTAGAGACGGGGTCTCGCTCTTGCTCAGGCTGGGCTCGAACTCCTGACCTTGAGCGATCCACCCGCCTCGGCCTCCCAGAGTGCTAGGATTACAGGCATGAGCCACTGCGCCCGGCCAGGCTCCCCTCTTTTTAACTGTCAAGTGTAGAACATTGTCATTTACCAGTAGTGAAAGCTTCATGACAATTTAGAATTACCGTTCTGGAGTTTTTTCATTTGTTGTCACACAGTTACTGTGTCTTCAGAAAAATCTATTTTCCAAGCTATCATAATAGCCTTTTGGCTTAGTTGACCATGATGATAATGAAGTTTTGTTTAACGCTGGGGAAGTCCCATGTGTTTACCTCCTGTAAACCAACCAGAAATGGTTATGTCAGTAATGGAGATTCTAGAACTCATTCTCCCCATAGCCCCTGATGCCTGGCGTCTAGACTCTCCCCTGACTCTGGCACAACTGTCTGGAGAGAACTCCTACTGCATCCTTTTGCTTATTAATGTTTCTTACTCGAGTTAGGAAAGGAGCATGTATCAAATGCTGAGTTTTAGTTAAATTTAAATTTAATTTTTAGCTTTTTTGAAAGCTACATGTTTTGACTGTTAAAGCAAATGGACACTAAAGCTGGACAGTCATTGGTGTCTCTCTGTAATACGAGAGAATGAACAAGATCCAAGAATCTAAAAGGTCAGGGGACCCCAAGTGGTATATGATGGTGCCTGGTACCAGAAACCAGAGTTGGAGGGGTCCCTGGTCCTACCAGCACCCACCCCTGCCCACTGCTGGGCTGTTCCTATGTGACTTGCCACCTCACGAGATGGCTCCTTCCTCTCCTAGACCACCCCAGTGTAGAAAATCCTTCCTTGTAGTAAACTATAGCCTGTCTCCCATTCAACTTTCTTTCCCATTTCAAATTGATTCTGCAAAAAGCAAAGTCTTTGAGGACCAGTAATAACTTGGTTTTAGGCTAGGTTGACTGCAAATTAAATACCTGGAAAGCAACTCGTAATTTTCCCATTGACTTCCATTAGAACATTGGAAAATATCTGGGACTGCATCCTCTGCTAGGATGGATTTCAATCTTTTAGGTGAGAGGGGGACTAAGAAGGCCACCCTTAACACTGGTGTGCTAGGTGTGGTGGCACGAGGAAGCCGGGCCTCTGCAACATCCTCCTCCAGCAGTTGTGGCTGCCTTCACAGTACTCAGCATTTCCTACACGTCTCCCAGCTCACAGAGGGTTCCCGCATTCCCACATGGGACTCCTGGGGCTCTGTTCTGCACCTGTGTTTGTCTAATACACATCACCTATGCCGTCATTTTTCCATTGTAAACTAGAAGCAGAGACATTGTATTGCACCCTCAGATTTTCCTGAGTGGTATTTAAGTTGGTATTATGGTAGTACTATAAAGTCAAGATTCCATATATTTAACCAACTTAGGATAAAAATATCTGTGTGACAAAATCTAGACTTAATATCTCTGTATCTTAATTTTTTAAGATGTTTTCTTTTAAAATTAATACATGCTTATTTTAAAATATTTGAAAAAAACAAAGCTAGAGGAAAAAGAATCATCTATAATGACAACTGCTAAAACTATAAAACAGCTATTAACCTCTTCCTGAATCCTTTTTGGGTATATACTATACTTTTTTGTCTTTTTACAAAAATGGGATCATAAGATACAGTTTTATAACCTATTCTTCCAGTCCACTTTTCTAACTTAACCATATGCAGTCAACCCTCCCTAGCTGTGGATTCTGCATCTGTGGATTCAACCAACCATGGATTGAAAATATTTAAAAAACAATTTGCATCTCTACTGAACAGGCACAGACTTTTTTCTTGACATTATTCCCTGGACAATATAGTAATACTACTATTTACATGGCACTTACATTATAGTAGGTATTATAAATAACCTAGAGATGATTTAAAGTATATGGGATGGGCCGGGCATGGTAGCTCATGCCTGTAATCCTAGCACTCTGGAAGGCCAAGGAGAGAGGATTGCTTGAGGCCAGGAGTTTGAAACCAGCCTCGACAACATAGCGAGACCTCATCTCCACAAAAAAAAAAAAGTTAGCCAGTTGTGGTGTGTGCCTGGACGACAGAGCAAGACCCTATCTCTAAAAAAAATTTTTAAATAAAAAAATAAAGCGTATAGGAGGATATGCATGGGTTATGTGTAAATACTATGCAATTTTGTATCTTGAGAGTTGAGCATCCATTGATTCTCATATCCACAGGGGTCCTGGAACCAATCCCTGTGGATACAGGAATATGACTGTATCACTCATTTCTAGTTTCTACTTAACTAGCTGGCCCAAGCCCCTATATCATGTCAGGACCAAGCTTCACTAAACCATCTCTCTATCTGGGGCTAGATAGGCTATTTTAAGTTGTTCTGCATGACTCTTTTTGCTACTGTGGTTTCCCTTACCAAGATCTCATTAATTTAGCCTTCCATTGTGTGTGGGTAAGGTGTTCTGAGAAAAGGCCAAGAATTGTGCCCATTCCGTCCTTTGATCTTGTCCTTGGGCCCTGTTAACTAGGCAGGCGTGGTCCACTGGTGCTTTAGCTGGAGTCCAGGCATCTGTCCCAGAGTTGAGGTCTGTGTTCACCGGGGTGACCATGGGCCCCCTATCCAGTACTCAGCCTTGGCTGCCCTTGTTAGGAGCTTGTCACCACCTGTCATGCCATTGGAAAGGTGACTGCACCTGGGCACCTAAGAGTAGTTCTGACACTGACCTCTCCCTCTGTTGATCGATTTTCACACTCTCCTTTTTGCTTTCAGGGCAAGTTTCTGGCTTTTTATCAGTATGCAAAATCATTTAACTCAGACGACTTCGATTATGAAGAGCTGAAGAACGGGGACTATGTCTTCATGAGGTGGAAGGTACGGTCCCGCCCTGGCGGCCCTCCGGATCCCAGCATGCCAGCGCCTGTGATGCGCCCACCCATGTGCTCTAACCATGGGCTCCCTATATCCATTGCTCATCACAGTTGTCTTCATGGCAGAGTCTTTAGGTGCTTGTAGAAAGCAGGCGTGGCTCCAGGGCACACCCCATTAACTGCTGACAACACAGACAGCTCCTGTTTGCCCTGTTTGGTGTCTAGCAGGTGGATCCAGGCCTAGGTGGTGGTCATCTTGTGTCTTCTCCCTTTCCTTTCTCCCACCCCAGGGGCCTGCTGAAGCCCCAGGTTGACTCATGTCAAGTTCTGTGGATTCAGGGCAGAGCCAGACTTCCTCTGAGCTTAGTCATCTGTCATACCCTGCTCCCACACAGGCTAAAATGCCATCCAGTGCTGGGTACCCTCCGCCACATCCTTTCCCCGGGGCTCAGGACAGTCTCAGCTCCTCTGCTTCCCTCCAGCTCAGGAAATGAGGGACCAGGAATGGAATGTGGGTTTTCCACTCAGCAGCCCTCAGAGAGCTCCATCTGGCTGACTTGGTAGATTGGCTTTTAGCTGAGAAGTCATTTGTGCTCCCTACTTTGATAGCACAATATTTACAAGCACAGGATAGCAAAATCATGAAGCACGCTTGTTAAATAACTTTGTGAACATACACCCACCTCCATCCCCTAGTCCTCAGTCTGTAGGAAAAAAGTTGTTTTATCTTGAAATTGTGCCAGTGTTCATAAGGAAGGATCATTTAGAGTAGTCTTTTCCAGTCTCCTTTGTATCGCTCACCATTTTGGGGGGTGGGGATCACCACTCTTTAAGTGGATGTTGCCAGATGCGGAGTCAATGGTGAGCCCTACCCTTGTGAGCTTGGCATCTAGTGGGAAACATGCCAGCTGAACAACCTGTTAAAGGAAGCATCTCGTTCTAATTTTAAAATGAATGTTTTAAAAAAACTTGTGGGCCAGGTGTGGTGGCTCACATATATTATAATCCTAGCACTTTGGGCAGCCGAGGCAGGAGGATTGCTTGAAGCCAGGAGTTCGAGACCAGCCTGGGCAACATAGCAAGAACCCATCTCTACAAAAAGTTTAAACATTAGCCGGGCATGGTGGTACATGCCTATAGTTCCAGCTACTCAGGAGGCTGAAACAGGAGGATCACTTGAGCTTCTAGCCCAGGCAACAGAGTGAGACTCTGTCTCAAAAAAAAAAACTTTAAAAAAATTGTTAAAACTATAATTTTAGAGGTTGAATTGAAAGGGGAAGGAGAGTGTCTTAAAATTTAAGAAGCAATGGAGTTGTTTTTTCTCCAAAGAATTTCTCAGGATGGCTCATCTGCCGGCCTCCCATGAACCTCCTGAGGCCCTGGGCCTTCTGACCAGGGTAGTACGTGCTGGACACGGCCTCTGAACTTGGGTGTAGCAGGTGTGGCACATTTGCCTCTCTCCTAAGGTGCCTGATCAAGAACAATACTGTTCTGACTGCTTCTGACGAGGTACTAAGCCCCTGGAGGGGGTGTCACGGGCTCCTGGCAACTGATCTACCCTCAGCCCACAGACCTACAGAGGTGACCCACTATTCTAGACGTTATTAAGCACCTAGCAGTGGTTCTGGGAACTAGAGCATAAACTTACTCTTCCCAGGTCATTCTGTCTGTGGTCTCTGAAAGGTAGAGAGGCAGACAGGTAGATAGGTAGGTATTGATTTATTTATCAGAAGTTTGGACCATGATCCCTTCTCTCAAGTTGCTGATTCTACGAGCTCAAGACATACGCCAGGAGCACAAGAATGCGCTTCAGAAGTCAGGCTGAGATCCCAAGGCTCTCTGTTACCCAGCAAGTCTGGATTAGACCATGAGATCGTTTTTTGGGTTTTGTTGTTTTTTGTTTTTTTTCCTTAGAACCCTCTGATCCTTAGCAGGGAGGTCCCAGGGGCTGGTCAGAGAGTGCTGTCTGTCACTGACCCTCTTCCTCTGTGTGCAGGAACAGTTCCTGGTCCCAGACCACACAATCAAAGATATCAGCGGTGCTTCCTTTGCCGGGTTCTACTACATCTGCTTTCAGAAGTCGGCAGCCTCCATAGAGGGCTACTACTACCATAGGAGTTCAGAATGGTAAGGCCCCAACAGTCAGCGGCCATGCGGAGGCTTGCCACCCCCCCAGGCTCTCCCTTGGCTCATGAAACCCAAAAGAAGATCTCCCAGCCTGTCCTGTATAGATTTCACGCTTTATTTGGATGCTGAGGACCTATTTAAATGATCTCAGTTGCTCATCACAGTGGCTCATCCCTATGCACAGAGCAGAGTAAACGAGCTGAAAATGAGGTATTAGGTGAAGGAACTCATTTTTAAATACTCTTAAGCAATACTTTTATCTCAATCTTGTTGGTTTTGTATTAATCCTCCCAGATTTAATCAGTAATTAAAATGTGATTTCATCCAGTTGTGGACAGTGTGAATTTTGATAGCAGCAGCCTTTTTTAAATTTGGTGGCATCGTTCCTTAGACATGGGTCTGAGTGCACTTGGTTTCTGTCTCATGGCCTACGGGCCGTGTGAGTTGACAGTCCCGTCCTGTGTTTCATCCACAGTGAAGGACGGAGCACCGCCTCAAGTGCTAACTTTGCCACCTTTCTGGGGACTACTGCTTCCTTGCTGCTTTTTAAACACCTGCTATCCCTAGAGGGCAAACCATATCATAAAAAACCTGATTTCCTCTCTGAAGGTAGAAACACTTTATTTCCTTTCAAATTTTTCACACTTTGGTGACTTGTGAGTGATCCTACCCTAGACTGAATTGAATTCCTTGTTCAGTGGCAGCAAAATTATATCTGTAAGTAAATAACCAGTCCTATAGCCATGATTATTAGGCTTTCAATAATTGTTCTGTTTTCAAGTGAGTTTTTAAAACTTTTCATAATCCTTTTTAAAAATAACAGCTATATTGAAATATTATTTGAGTATCCTCCAACTCATTTAAAATGTACAAATCAATGGTCTTTAGTATGTTTTTTATGTTTTTTTTGTTTTTTTTTTGAGACAGAGTCTCACTCTTTTGCCCGGGCTAGAGTGAGTGCCGTGGTGTCAGCCTAGCTCACAGCAACCCCAAACTCCTGGGCTCAAGCGATCCTTCTGCCTCAGCCTCCCGAGTAGCTGGGATTACAGGCATGTGCCACTATGCCCGGCTAATTTTTTCTATATATTTTTAGTTGTATGATTAATTTTTCTATTTTTAGTAGAGACGGGGTCTCGCTTTTGCTCAGGCTGGTTTCGAACACCTGAGCTCAAACAATCTGCCCGCCTCGGCCTCCCAGAGTGCTAGGATTACAGGTGTGAGCCACTGCGCCTGGCCGGTCTTTAGTATGTTAACAGAGTTGTACAACCATCAATTTTAGAACATTTTCATTGCAAGAGGAAACCCTGCACCACTTAGCCAGCACCCCCAGCTCCCCATCCTCTTCCAGCCGTAGTAGGCAACCACTAACATGCTTCCTCTGTGTGTAGATTTGCCTACATGGAATCCTATAATATGTGGCCTTTAATATGTGGCTTTTTTCACTTAGCATAAAGCTTTGAAGGTTTATCCATGTTACAGCATATATCAGAACTTCATTTTTATTGCCAAATAACTTTCCATTGTATATCCGTACAACATGTTATTTATCTGTTCATCACTTCATGGGCACTTGGGTTGCTTGCACTTTTTGGTTATTGTGAGTGAATGATGCTGCCGTGAACACGGGTGTACAAGTATGTGAGTTCCTGCTTTCGATTTCTTTGGGCACATACCTAGGAGTGAAATTGCTGGGTCATACGGTAATTCTATATTTAACTTTTTGAGGAACCGCCAAATTGTTTTCCACAGCAGCTGCACCATTTTACTGCCCCACCAGCACTGTATGACGCTTCCAGTTTCTCCACATCCTCCCCAGCACTCGTTATCATGTCTTTATAATTATAGCTGCCCTGGTGGGTGTGGAGCAGTATCTCATTATAGATTTTATTTGTATATTCCTGATGGCTAATGCATATTCCTTTCCTGATAATTTTTGGGGTAAGAAATAAACTTTTCTTCTGTGTTCTTCCTCACTCCTGTGTGAAACAGGTAGGGGAGAGCTAACATCCCAGCTGTCGACTCTAGGTGTGCCCGGGGGCTGCCATCCAGCATGTGGGCTGTTCACCTGTTTCTTCTTCGTCTTTGGGACTCCTTGGAGCACCTACCAGTAGGGGGAAACAAACACCTCAGATTGCTCTAACGTTCTCCAAGCTTAATACCACACCTAAGGCAGCAAGAAAATGAACCGAATGGTGTAATAAGGTTTAGGGTAGCGATGAAATTATTTTTTCTGTGCTATCTTTGGATACCATGAGAATTAGGATATGCCTGTGCTGTCCATGAAGTTCTTAGGATACTATAGCCTGGCATTATATGGACAGAGCTGAAATGCTTCCAGCAGGAGAGGGGCGCGTGGCAGGGTGAGGTAGGGCCTGGGTCATGGGTCTGCACCTTCTCCCAGAGCTTATCAGGCTCTTGTTTTTATAAGACATACCATAGTTGCTTCATGACCAGAGCAGAATGCCAAAAAACAGTTCATCTTGTGCATGGTTCGGGAGATTAACCAAAAAAAAAAAAAAAAAAAAATCAAACTAAGTTCAATTTGAGAAGCATAAAATGAATTTGCATTTCAGTCCGAGTATGTGATTTGTTGGGTGCCCTGGTTTGGGTAGGTTTTCTAACATACTTTGCTCAGTGTGCATTAGATGACTACCTCCCATTTCTGTCTCTTCCCCCATGCAGGTATCAGTCCCTCAATCTAACCCACGTTCCTGAACACAGTGCACCTATCTATGAATTCCGGTGACAGCGGTTCAGAACAGCAACCAAATAAAACTGAACTTGGCAAAAAGAACTTTGCTGAGAAAATTGTGTACCTGCCAGAACCAGGAGAAGTGTGTTCCTGTTTCTTCGCGAGCAGACTCGCATCAGAAGGCATGAGTGTGAACCCACGGAATCCAAGGAGCGTGGCGGACCGGCGGGGCAGGTGAAGGGAGTGGTCTCCGTTCTTCCTCCCTCTCCCTGGTAGTTTGGTTTTCATCTGTTTTTAAGCTACCTTAAACGCACTTTTCCTTCCTGCACAGCTAACTTCTGCATCACTGAAATGCCCATTCTTTCCTCCATCCCACCTCCAGCCAAGTGGAAGAACTGCTCCCAATCACCCTTAGCCTTGGTGCTCAGTGGGCCCAGGCCTCCCTCCCCCAGTTGCTTTGTCTGGTAGCTCGAGAGAAGGCAGAGCCCCTGCACCTCTGTGCCCCCAGAGCTCTGTACAGGGAGCTGGCGAGCCGCAGCAGCATCTGCCACCAATGAGGCAAGAGGCGGAGGCCAAATGGTCCCTGCTGGGCCGCCTCAGTCTTCAGTTCTGATGGCTTCATGGGCCAACAGGTGCTGCCGAGCCTGGCACTGTTCACAGTAAGGTTCCCTGGGCCTGCCGTCGGGATCACTAAACATGAGGCTTCCAGATCCCTGGCAGGAACAGATTCCAGTCCTGCTTACTCAGTACATCTGCTCCAAACTTTTGAACTTGAGGGCAATACTAAACTTAAAAATAAGAGTTTTTTTATTACAAAATTATTTTTATGGTACCTTTAACGAGGACCCTATGGCAAATGCACAATTATTCAGAATTACATTTTATCGTTTTCACATTGAAAACAGCAAATGTTGACTTAGTAATTTTTATATCTATATCTATATGTATATGTATATTTAATCAACCAGCAGTTTTGAAACTAGGCATCCTGGTACAAAAGTTTTGCAGCATTGCATAAATTATAGTGCTAAACACAAGAACTGTTTTTGGGGCCAGTTTAGCATTTGTACCTCCTCCTTTTGCTACTCAAAACAACAGTACTTCATGGCCACCTTTTCCATGAGGCAGAAGGGGTCGTGATTCTCCAAAAACAGTGACTCTGAAATGTTGGGACGGGGTGGGGAGGGGCGGGAGACATGAACACGCTCAAATAACGCGAGGCTCATGTGCCAAAGTGTGTGTGTGTGTGTGTGTGTGTGTGTGTGTGCCATTTTTGTTTTTTGTTTTTTTAATGTTTAAAAGCTTAATAGGTTGGTATCAGTTGTAGCCCGCAAATACGGGCCGGGCTTTGGGGAATTGGCATTTTCTGGTGGTTTACAAGATTTACTCCGAATACAAGAGAAAAAGCTTTAAAAACAAGATAGCATTATAACCCACAGGAGCAAAGCAACCTGGAGGTTGTGTGTCCATGGGTGGTGTAAGAGCGTAAAGCCCTACAGTGAGATGAGACGAGAGGTGGGGACGATTTTTTATTAGGAAGTGACTTTCCTTTTATTGACATATGTACTGTATGTTACTGAATGTTAGGGGAAGCCTTAAGGGAGAAGTATTTGGGAAAGTAGCCAGTGGGCACTTGTGATATCTAAAGTTTGCAGTCCCAGGACTGTGTACAGAGGGGCAACCCACTAATTCAGTAAGGGCAGGCCTTGGATCCCTAAAATGTTGCCTCTTAAGGGGAAAAATAATTCACATCCATTCCCAGAGATGCATCAGAAAAGTTTCCTCAATCTTAAAACTCGACAAGGTATCAGAATAGCTGGCTCTATTCAAACCCAGCTGATCACACTCACGGGGAGACACTCACTGTGGCTTCAGTTAAGTGACAGCGTCATGGAGGTGTGAAGGGGGCCGCAGGGCCGTGCTGGCCTCTCCCTGCAGCACAGGCCGTCACGCTTCTCCTCAGTCCTGCTCACCTGGCATGCTAAGCAATACCTTCTGCATTTTGTGAGCCTCCTTGCCTCCTCAGAGCACTGAGGGGAGAGGTCATCCCTGGAGCTTATTGGGGGCTTGTCGTGCCTCCGAGGAGGGAGGGGGGATGTTTGCAGACACTGCTGGTGTTGTAGCCAGACAGTCCAGGTCCTATTGTAGAATTTCTTTCTTCCTTCCCTTTTAGCTAGTTAATAAAGTGCACCAGTTAGTTGTACTGGGAAAAATGAAGAAATGATACTTCTACTTTGGACACATCTGTGATGAAGATTTGTTCACTTAAAGTCTGCCTGCTGAGGATAGGGAAGGGATTAAGTATTTTTCCACCTCCTCTTAGTAACTCCCAAATGACCAACATCAACTCCTTCTTTTCTTTCTGTCTGTTCCTGAAGGAACTCTGGGGAATCATCCTCATCCACATTTATGCTTTCCTGAACCTTCTCAGTGGTTCACATGCCTCTAATACTATGTGCAATATTTTTGGCTGACACTTGTATCCATCATTAAGAAATAAGTGTAGATTGCAGATTTCCCACCATCTCCCTGCACCCAGACAAGCCTGCCTGAGGGATTTGGCCATTCTTATCCACTGCTCAGAAAGCTTCCATTCTGCTGTCCCCAGCCTCAGCCCTCTTCCTGGGTGGACTTCCACCAATCCATCTTTGGAAAGTTTAAGATAGCGTTTCAGCTGCAGTCCAAAAGTAATGAAACAATGCCTAATATTAAGTAGAAAGTCAATCTGTGTGCTGGTTCTGTTGGTAATGAAATCATAAACTCCAGGGGAGCAAAGGGGTTTTTCCAATATCTTTTGCTTTCAGAAACAGAGAATTTATGTTCTCACTAAGGCCTTGAATTGATTTTTTTCCTCATAAAATAGTCTGATAAGCTAATTTTTAAAAAGAAATGCCATTAAGTATGTTGCATTGTGGTTTAAAATTACTAACAAGTTCTGGGAAGGAAAAATAATATTTGATTTTGAATCTTAAATGTTTTTAAAAATTAGATTTGAATGGGTACAAAGTACAAATATTTTGTTTCTTTATGGAGGACATGTGGAAAGGGTTTGAGGGTTTGGGATGGGGAGAAGTATTTTGCAGAGCTATCAATGTCCAAATAATTTTTAAAAAAGAATAAAGGTATTTAAGCAGTGAGTTTGTCCTATTCCTTTTTTTTTTTTTACTAAATAACTTTATTGAGCTCTTTCAGTCTTTAATGGAACAGGTAATTTCTTTGCTACATCACTTGCTCTAGAGCATAAAACACTTGCTATTTCATGTATTTATAAAAAGATAAAATCTAACAAAAAGGAGTAAGAAAGTTAAAAGTATTGACCAATTCCACTTTTGAATGTTAATATAAAAATTCTAAGTCCAGGCACAGTGGCTCACGCCTGTAATCCCAGAAATTTAGGAGGCCAGGATGGGAGGATTGCTGAGGCCAGGAGTTCAAAACCAGCCTGGGCAACTTAGCAAGACCCCATGTCTACAAAAAATAAGAAAAATTAGCCAGGCGTGGTGGCACACGCCTGTAGTACTAGCTATTTGGGAGGCTGAGGCAGGAGGATCACTTGAGCCCAGGCGTTTAAGGTTGCAGTGAGCAACTATGATGCCACAGCACTCTAGCCTGGGTGACAGAGTGAGACTCTGTCTGGAAAAAAAAAAAATTATAAATAAAACACTAGCAAATCATATTTAATACATAGTATGTTAAAAATAATCCTGCATGTTGAAAGAGAATTGATCTTAGAAATGGAAGAGTACGTAAATATAAGAAATCTATTTATATGTAACATCAGTAGGAAAATAAACTATACGAATATCCCATTAATTGCTTAAAAGATATTTGAAAAATTAGCTTTTGTTTGATAAAATAGTCTTATAAAAATAGGATACTTCTTTAATATGGGTAATATACTAAATGCTAACAGCATACTTTGGTATACTGGTGAGATCCCAGAGACAGTTATCTAACAGATACATAAATGAAGCATCTACTATGTTCTAGCGCTGTTTTGAGTTCTGATAAACCCCTCCCGTGGAACTTAACATTCTAGTGGGGAGGAATAGTGAACGAGACCTTGTCCTGTGTCTCGTGGAACCAATCCTTTTCTGCTTCCTGGCTGTGGAGCTCCCAGAGCTGGCCAGAGACCTGTGGACGGGAGCAGGGAAGGCGCTCTTGGGGAACAGTTTCAGTGGTCGTGTTGCTCCTTCCTTTCCTTTCCGAAGGTTTTTTCAGCTGCTTATCACTTCTGTTTGAGCTTACTTTTGTTCATTTCTGTGTTTCTTCAGAAATGTGGAAGCATTTTTTTTTTTGCATGTGTGAAGGGTTTATACTTTTATTTAACACAGAAAACGTGCAGATAGAGTTATCTGTTCACTGCCTGCTTCGCGATCTGGTGTTGGAACAGGCAGTGCAGTCCGGCTGTTCTTGGCTGTGATTGTGGTCCTCAAAGAAGATGTCTTGCAAAGGGCAAGGCCCCTAATTCAGCCACATCACTTGATTCTGACAAACCACACTGTGTGGTTTCAGGTACCACCTCCCTGAGCGGCACCAAGGGACATAGCTAGAAATGTTTGCGTTTTCAAGGAACTGTTTAAAGTGTTGAAAAAGGTCTCACTTTTAAGCAAGTTGAAATGCTAAGGGAATTTACATCAATGGGAGGACAGAGCTCCCCTATGTGTGTCCAGTATTGTCTGATCTCATATTGTCTAAACAATGGTAACGAACTTTTTTCTCCCATGAGACACAGTGTCAAGAAGGTAACAGACTGTTTACAATGCTGGACTCATACAGTTTAAGACACCACTGTTGTTTCTTTCCTAAAGTAGAAAAGCCATGGGAGTCCTGGGTTCCCCCATCTACCTTTAGGTCCTAACGTGCCCTCACGTGCATCAGCTAACCTGTCTGAGCCCAAGTTCCCTCACATGGAAAGGGGGAAGAACAGCTTCTCCTGGACCAAAGAATTGTTCACGATTCAAGGAGATGCTCCCAAAAGCATTTAGTAAGTTCTAAAAATGCAAAACATAAGTGTTATTTTTGCTTAGTAATGTTAAAATACTTACTGAAGCTCACTGCACGCACTGCAGCATTCTAGGTATTGGGGATGACAAAATGTCTCCCAGCCCTCAAGGAACTAATAGTCTAGAACAGCCAGCAAAACCGGCTTTAACATCTCAATTCTTACATCCTCAATTTTTAACCTTTAGTTGGCTTTGTTTTTACACCATTGATAGGAACAGTAGAAACTGTGGAAATTGTGTAGGTTAAGTGTGAAACCAACTCCAAGACGGGACAAAGGAAAATTATAAATATGACACTGTCTCCACTGATCTGAACTGTACCTGAGAAGGGACTCACTGAAATTGCTCGGTAATGAAATAGGCAGCTGGCTTTGATATTCAAGGGGGTGGGAGGCTAAAGATTGCTGTTGAACAACTTTTCCCTCCAGATTTTTCTTCCCAAACATCTAGACTCTAGAGATTGAAACTCCCTAGTTGTACATAGCATGAAAAACAGGTAAGGCTTTTCATTTGTACAGAAGCATATGCTGAATTCAAGTTTATTTTTGCTATTTTTTTCCTTTTGGTTTTTCAGCTTGCTTCATTTTTCAATGCATTAATCATTGTTCCTCTCCACAATTGAACGTGGCTGCACATGAGAATCACCTGGGAATGGTTTAACATTCTTATCTCAGGTAGTACCCAGGGCAGCCCTATTGCACCTGTTGATGTTCTTAAAGCTCCAGGTGACTAATGTGCAGGAAAGTTTGAGAGTGACTAAGCGAACCTCCCCCACTGGAAGGAGAGGCTTTCAGGCTTGTGGTGTTGGTGCACTAAGTGTGGCTTCTGGCCATTCACAAGGCCACACCCATTTGCAAAGGGGCTGGGAAACGGGGCCCAGCTGGGCACCTAGATGGAGAGGGAACTAGATTTGGTGAGCAGGTCTGGCTCTGTGGGATAAAACTGTGGCTGGAACAGGTCTGGGGAAGAACAGGAGTTCTGCTTTGGACATGATAAGTCTGAGATAAGCATGGGAATTCCAAGTGGTAATGGATATAGGAATTCAGGAGAAATGAATGAGAAAGGTCTCGACTGGAGATAAAAATGTGGGCTCTGGCAGCATCTAGGTGGGGTATTTAAAGCCGTAAGACAGGATGAGATCACCAAGGAGGTGAGTGTAGACAGAGGGGGTGCTAAGAATGGAGCTCTGGGGCCCTCCAACATCAAAAGTTCACAGACAAGAAGAGGAAAAGCCTGTGGGATAGAAGGCAAGCTGGCATTCTAGAAGCCACAGGAGGTTACAGGAGAAGGAAGCATCAACTGTCGACTGATGCTGTCTTGATCTTTGCATAGAGCAGTGTGAGGGTCACTTCTGACCTTGAGGAGAGCAGCCTTCATGGAATGGTGGGGCAAAAAGAGAGCAGAGTACGTTTGGGAGAGAAAGTAGGTGAGAAAGCAGAGACAACGAAGCTTCCTGTAAGAAAGCGGACACCATCTGGCCGCACCGCAGGTCAGTATGTAGGGAGTCTGCCTGCTTTGTTTCCTGGATTTCAGTCCAAAAGCTTGATCTAAAGCCCTCAGATGTTAACTCGCCACAGAAGCACAGCTCAGTTTGAAAGCACAAACAGCCCCACGTGCTGACCCTCAACTCCAGATGTCTGAGTCTGCTGCAGCCTCACTGAAGTGTGCCCAACTAGGATTGAAATGTTCCTTTTCCTGGATCAGAGTCAACCTCCGGAAAATGCCCCAGGTAAAAATGGATATTTGCATCACGGGTACATCATGCTCCCCACAGCCTGCCCCAACATGGTAGCCCCTACCTTTGGTGGACGCCAAGGCACAGGGGGACAGGGCGTTGGTGTATTCTAGGACTGGCTTCACTGACACCCATCCCCTTGAGAAGAGGTTCTGTTGAACCACATGTGTGCATTAGAGGCTTCCCGGCGGGATAGCCCCCAGGGCCAATCACACCTCCCCGGTCACAGCGCCACCCCCAGCAGCTCCCCGCCACTACCCAGGGAGCAGAGCAGCTCATTTGTTGATTAGGATGGATGACGTCTTCAGGGCCTACCCAGTTTAGACTGGAGAGGAAGGCCCAGCTGTGACTAAGATTGAATTTCCTACCAGTATGTCTATATGGCAACTAAGAGTTGGGTTGAAAATTGAAATTAATTTTTAAAAATAAGCCAGGCGTAGGGGCATCCATCTATAGTCCCAGTTATTTAGGAGGCTGAGGTGGGAAGATCCTTTGAGCCCAGGAGTGGGAGTTTGAGGCCAACCTTGGCTATGTAGCAAGACCCCCATCTCTACATCATCATCATCATAATAATGCAATCCTTTTATAGTTCATAAGTGTGATAGTTGGGTTTGCACGATCATGTGTGAGATGTGCCTCCCTCAAACCTTGTTACAATGTTGGCACATTACCCATTTGTCATGAAACAAGAAATAATGTGACGTTTCTCACATACAATAGGGTTGTACCCATTCTATCTTTTGCTCTGGACTTCCCATCTTTTTGTTCACTGATCTAGCTCCCCAGCCCAGCTCTGACCTCCCTGAGAGCAGGGCTGGTGTGTCATTCATTTCTCTATCCACAGGACCCAGTGGGTCATGCCCACCAAATACCAGCTGAATGGCCAACAGCTCCATTAGCCAATTTGATCAAGCAGACAGGCACTGCCTCCATTCCTCCATTCCACAGTGAGGTGGTAGACCTGAGTTACCTGACCCACCCACAGGCACCCAGCAAGTTCACCATCCTTTTAGGAGTCATCTGGCAAAAAATATGTGCTCTAGAAATATTTGTTCAATAAATCAATGAATTTCAGTGAGGAATGCTGTCCCAATTAGATAATTGTGATTGCAAATGGTGAAGTCCAGATTTGCCCCCATCCACTTTGCCAGAATTTGTTTGAAATGCTTTATTTTTCTTGTGGTAAAATATATATATAACTAATGTACATAAAATTTACCATTTTAACCATTTTTAAGTGTACAATTCAGTGGCATTAAGTATGTTCACATTGTGCAACCATCACCACCCTCCATCTCCAGAAGTTTTCGATCATCCCAAACTGAAACTCTGCACCCATTAAACACAAACTTCCTGTTCAAGTCCTTTGCCCATTTTTTAATCAGGTTGTTTTTGCAAATATTTTCTCCCATTCTGTGGATTGCCTTTTCACTCTGTTGATAGTGTCTTTTGATGCACAAATCAAATGTTTCTATAGTTCTAGTAGCGGCCTCTCCAAAAACATATAAACTCCATCTTGAGGGTTCCTTGGGCAGCATGAACAGCGAGGCTTATAGTTGGCCTCCCAGGTTAGGGTTTGGAGGACCCAGACCAGGCAAGCAGGAGAGCCGGTTGCCTAGAGGAAGCTTGATGTGCGGTCATCTCCCATGACCCTTGACATAGGCACAATTCCCATGTTACTTGTGAAGAAACCAAGGCCCACAAGGATAGTCACAGAAGCAGATACAATGGAAAAGATGCCAGGACTCTTGGAAGGTGAGTCGTTTTCCAAAACTCTTCCATTTCCTCAACTGTTAACTAGAAGTGAGCATGCTTCTGTGGGCACAGGGGTGGTGGTAAAGCAGACCCTGAGAGCCACATCATGTAGAAGTTGGAGGCAGAGAGGACTTACAGACCCACTCCTGGGCCAGGGCTCTTCAGGCCTCCACATCTTCACAGACCTCTCCAGTTCCCAGATTGTTCTCACCTCTATCATCATCTTCATTTACAGAAACACCATACATGTATATTCCACCTACAGTCTGTCACATTACCTTGGAGTCACTGGACTTGGAATTGAAAGTTCAGATCTCAGCCCTGCCATTGAATAGCTTGAGCACTGGGCCACTTTGCATAGCTTGTGACCTCAGTTTGTAAAATGCAGATGAGAGTGGCAAGGTCAAAACTTGCACAAGTTCCTACCTAGCCCATAGCCTGGTGCATAGGTGCTTAATAAATATGGGCTGAATCTGAGGAGGGATGAGGGACAGACGAGAAGTGACTTCCAAAGGCTCTGGCTTTCAAACAGAACTTATGAGCAAGCAAACTATATGCCAGGTGCTCTACAGTCATTATCTAATTTCATTTTTATAGCAACTGTATTATTCCCATTTTTAGGATATAGAAACAAGCTCAGAGGGATTAAGAAATTTAACCAAGCTCACACAGTTATGAACCTGGAATTAGAACACAGGTAGTGTGATTTCCAAGGACCTGTTCCTTTTCCCCAACTTTTTATTAAAAACATACAGAAAAGTTGAAGGAATAATTCACTGGCACCCATATACCCTTCCCCCAGGTTCAGCGGTCGTGAACATATTGCCACATTTACTTTAGTATGCTTTCTTTAAACATACATACTTTGAACTGCTCAAGAGTAAGGTACAGACATCATGAACTTTCACACTTATTATGGACTGAATGTTTGCGTGCCCCACAAATTCACATATTGAAGCCCTAGCTCCCAATGTGATGGTATTTGGAGATGGGGCCTATAGGGGTAATTAGGGTTAGATGAGTTCATGGGGATGCCGTACTATTCATGGTGGGATTAGTGGCCTTGTAAGAAGAGACACCAGTGAGCTTGCTCTCTGAAAGTATGCACTGAGGAAAGGCCATGCAAGGAAACAATGAGAAAACAGCCCTCTGCTAGCCAGGAAGAGAGCCCTCACCAGAAGCTGACCATGCTGGCACCCTGATCTCAGGCTTCCAGTGTCCAGAACTGTGAGAAAATAAGTATCTGTTGTTTAAGCCACCAAGTCTATAGTATTTCATGACAGCCCAAGCATACTAAAACAACCCCTAAATCCTGCATGTGCATCTGCTAAGAATAAAGACATTCTCCAATGTAATCACACCCAAGAAAATTAGCAATATCTCCATAATATTCACTACCCAATCCATAAATTTCTCCCAGTTGTCCTCAGAATGTCTGTAAATTTTTATTTATTTATTTATTTTAGATATGGGATCAGGATATGTTGCCCAGGCTGGAGTGCAGATCATAGCTCACTGCAGCCTCCAATTCCTGGGCTCAAGCGACCCTCCCACCCCAGCCTCCCGAGTAGCTGGGACTACAGGAGAGCACCACCAGGCCTAGATCAGAATGTCTTTTTATAGCAGCTTTTCCACTTTTTCACCCACAATCCAAGCAAGTTCCACACATTGTATTTAACATCTTTTACTCTAGAACAATTCCCTTGCCTATTTCCTCCCAGTCATTGACAATTTTGAAGAGCCTAGGCGACTTGCCTTATGAAATGTTTCACTTTCGACATCTGATGCTTCCTCGTGTCTAAACTCATATCTAAACTCAGGTACAGTATTTCTGGCAAGAATCCCACATAGGCGATGCCGTCTACTTTTATACTGCACCATATTGGGAGGCATCTGATAGCAGGTAGTGGTTGGTTAAGGTAGTAATGGGGATTCGCTTTTAACCTCGATACAAAATGAGAGCCACCAGGCTTTCACCTTAGTCCTTTTCCTTTACACTATCAAAGTCAGCTGCACCGAGGGACACGCAGTTCAAGGCTCATCACCGGGATATTCTCTTTCTTCCACGCCCGGCTCCTGCCAGTCTTATCCGGGCCCAGTACGACACGGCCCCGCCCCCGCCAGGCCCCGCCCGGCCTAGCGGTCCCAGCCCGGCCCGCCCCGCAGGCGGAACTGATAGTGTCTGGCCCTGCGCTCGACGTTGCCTGCCCGGACTGTGAATCCGGGAGCACCGGGAGCCCACAAGGACGCTGTTCTCCGTAGCTTCCGGGTGCGCACTGCTTTGCCGCCGCCGTCAGACCGGAATTCCCGGTGCTGCCGTCGTCGCCGTCGGCGCCCCCAGCTCTGCCGCTGCCATGGGGATCTTGGAGAAGATATCGGAGATCGAGAAGGAGATCGCTCGGACGCAGAAGAACAAGGGTGAGGGCCGGCCCGGCGGGGCCTTCCATTCTGCTCGCCTCAGTTTTCCTGTCTGGAAAATGGGGGAACAACTCCAGTGGTAGAGCTGGGGCAGGCTTGGAGGCCGCAGAGAAGTGGTGAGGACGCCCAGCGCGCCCAGGGCAGGGCCAGAAGGGAGCGAGTCTCACGCCCCGGTCTGACGGCAAATGGCCACCAAGAGATCTGATCGGTGCCACACTGGGTGACCGAGTAGAGAAGTCCCGAGTCACAGAGCAAGCATCTGACCCAGAGAGAGCCAGGGCCGGTGTACAAACCCCAGGCTCCTGATGGCCAGGCTGGGGAGTTCCTGCTGTTGCCTTTTGCGCTGGGAGGTGCAAGAGGAGACGTCTCAGGAATAGCCTCACCCAGCAGCCAGGAGCCCGCTGGGGCAGAGGGAATCAGGACTCTGGAGTCTGGAAGGCCTGGGTTTGAACCCCAGTTCCACCTCGTATCTGCTGTGAAACACTGGAAAGTCACTTCGCCTCTTGGAGCCTCAATGTCCTGATCTACAAATGGGGATAATCACCCCCACTCCATCTTAGCCCACGGCTAAGTTCAATTACGTGGCGTTTGCAAAGCACTGGGCACATGGCGCGCACTCAATATTTAAAGTAAGCACCCCGACATAGATAGCACACAATGAAGCATCAAATCTGGACTTCAGATTATAAGGGCTGGAGGAGCTCCGAGAAGAATGGTGAGACCAGGAGGAAGTGGGACTTGAGCTGGTTGTTACAGGGAGGCATTCCAGGTGGGAGGTACTGCCAGGGACAGTAAGAAGAACAATGTAAATCAGCAGGGGGCGTGTGGAGTAATGAGACAGGCGATTGGCTAGGCCAGTGCCTGGCCAGTCCTGTGAGGTTCAGGCTTGCAGGAATGGGAAGCAAGAAATGCTAGGTGGCTGGTCTTAGTGTCTGCCCTCCCTTAGCTCCATTTAGGTCTGAAGAGTGAGGAATTGGGGGGCTTCTATGACTCATTCATTTTGTAAATCCCTTTACTGTGTGCTAGGTATGGTGGTTAAAGCAGTGGACACACAGGCAGGCACATCCCTGCCCTTGGATCTGACCTTCTAGTCGACACTCTGTAAACTGGTAACCCAATAAATAAGATAATTTCATCGAGCAATAAATGCTACGAAGACAAACTAGGGTAATGTAGCAGAATGTTGGGGGTGGGGTGGGGCCAGGGCCTACTCAGGTAGGATGGTAGAGAAGACCACCATGAGGATGGGGCATTTGAGCTGAGACATGAATGAGAAGAAGGAACCAGCCATGCATAGATCTAGGGGAAGACTATTCCTAGCAGAAGGAACAGCTAGTGCAAAGGCCCTGAGCTAGGAGCAAACTTGGTGTATTCAGGGATCAACAGGTCTGATGCTGGGATGCACTGATGGGAGAGGAGGGGGCCAATCATGCAGAGCCCTAGAGGTCATGGGAAAGACACTGGGTTGTGTTCTAGGGCAGTGGGAGCTAGTGGAGAGTGTTAAGCAGGGGAGAGACTCGTCTGATTTCTGTTTTAAAAGTTCCCTCTGGCTGCTGTGTGGAATATTATCTACAAGCCCGAGAGAAAGTAGCAGGGAGGCCTAGGGGAGGCTAGAGATGCTGCCGCTTTGGCAGTAGTGAATGAAAGGGATGTAAAGGTGATTAAGACTTAGTCCTTCCCCTCAGAGATGCTCACAATTTTATGAGCTAGGATGACAGGAAGGCTATATGAACCTGACAATTGCGGAACTCATTCTTGACCCTTTCTCACCACCATCAGTTCACTCATTCTCTTGCTAAGACATTTCCTGAGCACCCAGGCCCTGTGCCAGAATCTGGGGATACATGACAGTATACAGTTCCTGACCTATTGGAGCCAGGGAAGTAAAGAAACAAAATAGTTTCAAAAAGTGATAAGGGCCATCAAGTGAGTAAACAAGATCATGAGGCAGAGGGGTGGGGTTTACTGTGGATAATAATAGCCAACTTTTATTGGGTGCTTACTATGTGCTAAGCAGTGTTCCTAGTGCTTTCTTTAAGCCTCACAGAAATCTAATGAAATAGTTATTACTGTTAACATCCCTATTTTGTAGATTAAGAAACTGATACACAAGAGGATTAAGTAACTTTTCCAAAGCAAAACAGCCAGTAATGACAGGATGGGATTCCAACACAAGCTCTCAAACTCTGTATGACACTGCCCCGCAAGGCTGGGCGGGAGAGGCCTCTTTGAAAAGGTGTTTTTTGAACTGCGCCTCTAATGGTGAGAAGCAGCCAGCTCCGGGAAGATCTAATTGAAGTGGAGGGAATAGCAAGTGCAGTGCTCCTGAGGCAGGAGTGAGGTCAGCATGTTCTGGGCAAAAAGAAGCCCTGTGTCTGGAATGTAGTAGAGGAGGGAGAGTGGTGGGAGATGTGTTGAAGTAGCCAGGGGCCAGGTTACTTAGGGTCCTGATTTTCAATCTCAATCACAGCCCCCTTTTATAGCAGATTTTGTAATGCCCCTTTTATTGTTCCGAAATCGAATTCCTCATCAATAGTATAACTTATGTACTCACAGAATTTGAAAAAAAATCAATGTAATGCCCTAATAATAAGATAAAGTAGGAGAAAAGGAGAGTAATTTATAATGGAAAAAGTGTTTATTGCAATATGTAAATGCTGGGGTGCTGCCAAAACGTAGTGAAGTTATAATGAAGCAGTGAGATGCTCATCCCTCTGGGTAGAATCACCAGGGATGGCAGACACGACGCAGACCAGTTGTATTGGCCACTCAGATACCTTGCACGAGGCACTGCTGTGACAGCTTGGCATCCCAGGATGGTGAGCAGCTCGAGGTAAAGTTTCAAATATAGTCTCCCTTTTATGTGCACAGGAGTTGCATTCCTAGGAATTTCAGTGTATATTAACGTTGCAAAAAGTGCCCTGTGTTCATATGTGAATAGGGCTAGGTTCTAGGCCCTGGTGATCTGAACCCAGCTTTTCCCTCTGGGTGTCTTTGGGACCTGAGCAGTCATGTGGGGCTCTGGACAGTTCTTGGTTGTGCAGGACTGACTCCTCTTGTAGGGCAGCTGGTTTCTCTGGCCCCTGTCCAATAGATGCCAGTGAGGACTTCACCATCAGAGTGAACATAAGACATCCCCCAGAATTTCCAGAATGCCCCCCAGGGAGAAGTGCTGCCCCCATTGTGGACCACTGACATAGGGTGGTGAGATCTCAACAAGGAGACTAGATTTTAGTCTAAATGAAGTGAGAAGCTAAGGGGGCCCTTTAAGCAGAGGAGTGGTTTTTCTTTCCTGTCTCCTTGATGATGATTGCATGTGGTCTCGATGTTCCCAGCCAGCACTTGGTCATGTGTGGGGTCCCATCTGACCTGCTGGGCTTGGAGACTCTGGACACTTACCTTCTCTCTTCCTTTATGTCCTTTAGCCACTGAGTATCATCTGGGCCTGCTGAAAGCAAAACTTGCCAAGTATCGGGCCCAGCTCCTAGAACCATCCAAATCTGCCTCATCCAAAGGAGAGGGCTTCGATGTCATGAAGTCGGGTGATGCCCGTGTGGCGCTGATTGGATTTCCCTCTGTGGGTAAGGTCAGTGATGGTCAGTGTGGGCCTTGTCGGGGAAGGCAGGAGGTCATCTCCCAAACAGATGACCATCTGTGCCTCCCCTCACCGCCTTTCCGGTTAGCTTCAGGGACAGAAGACCCGGCCTCCCCCAGTGTTGGGTCCTATGAGTTTATTGTCCTAACACAGAGAACGCTCTTTCCTCTCGCCAGCAAAAATAGCACCTCTGTCTCCCAACTCAGCCATCATGCACAAACGTTTGTGGAGTATGTGCTTTGTGCTGGGCACTGTGGCAGGGACCAGACAGGCTTCTCTCTCTGCCCACATAGAACTCCCATTCTCGGGGAGAAGGGACAGTAAATGGGGCACGTCACGTGATGAGGAGTGGGCTGGCAAGTGGTGGGGGCAGAGGTCCTGCTAGTTACACTGGGGTCCGGGAAGGCCTTTCTGTCAAGCAGATATTGAGCAGAAGCCTGAAGGAAGTGAGGGAGCTTGCAGAGCCCTGCCTGAGAACATTTCAGATGGTGTGTCCAGAGCACCAGGGCAGCTGGTCTGACTGAGTGGCAGAGAGAGCAGTAGGAGGCAGCGCCTTGTGGGCTGCCCAAAGGACTTTGGCTTGGAGTGAAGAGTGAAGTGGAAGCTGCTACAGTTTTCTAGAAGATTTCTTCTGAAAGCTGCTCAGTGTAATGTAAAATCCATATTGATTTACATTTATGTGGTAAGATGAGCATCATTGTGGGGTTTTGAGCAGAAAAGAGACATAATCTGATTGATTTTTTAAAATAAACTTATTTTAGAATAGTCTTAAATTTACAGAAAAATTGCAAGGATAGTGCGGAGTTCCCATTTACCCTACACCCAGTTTCCCCTGTTGTTAAAAATCTTACATTATATGATATAGTTGTCACACCTAATGAATCAATGTTGATCTGGGTTTTGGGATTTTGGTTGTTTTTTTGCGGCGGGGAGAACAGGGTCTCTCGCTTTGTCGCCCAGGCTGGAGTGCAGTGGTGCAATCCTAGCTCACTGTAACCTCAAATTCCGGGGCTCAAGCGATCCTCCTGCCTCAGCCTCCCAAGTAGCTGGGACTACAGGAATGCACCACCAGGCCCAGCTAATTTTTTTATTTTTTGTAGAGACAGCATTTTGCTATGTTGCCCATGCTGGTCTTGAATTCCTGGCCTCAAGTGATCCTCCCACTTCGGCTTCCCAGAGTACTGGAATTATAGGTCTCTACTCACCACCCAGCGATCTGTTATTAATAGCTCAAGTCCATACTTTATTTGGATAGGTTTTCCCTACTGTCCTTTTTCTGCCCTGGGACGCCACATCACATTTGGTTGTTATGTCTCCTTAGGCTCTTCTAGACAGTTTCTTAGACATGCCTTGATCTGATGACCTTGACGGTTTTGAGAAGTACTGGTCAGGTATTTTGTAGAAAGTCCTCAATTGGGGTTTGATGTTTTTCTTGTGGTTGCGGTGAGTGGGGTTGCGGTGTAGAGAGGAAAACCACAGAGGTGAAGTGCTGTTTTTATCACATATTAAGGATACATACTATCAACATGAGTTATCAGTGTTGCTGTTGACCTTGACCACCTGACTGAAGAGGTGTGTGTCAGGTTTCCTCCCCTTACCATACTGCACTCTTGGGAGGGAAGTCACTATGGGCAGCCCACACTTAATGGTGTGGACTCATACCTCCTTGAGGTGGGTGTGTCTTGTGTCTATATAAACTGTTCGAAATTCTTCTGCATGAGAGATTTGTCTCTTTTCTCCCATTCATTTGCTTTATTCAATCATTTATTGATATCAGTATGTACTCATGGATATTTATACTTTGGGGTCTAATACCATAGCATGTTCTTTTCATGCTCAGATTGTTCTAGCTTTAGAACTATTTCAGTTGGCTTCTTGGCCGTACTCCCATCATTGTGTTATTCCAGCACTTCCTCACTTTCTGACACTGCAAGGTGCTTAAGGCCCTTCTTGTGTATTTCCTGCCCTGGCCTAGAATCAGCCATTTCTCCAAGGAGCCCTGGTTCCTTTTATTGGAGAATATTAGAAACCACAGTCTGGATGCTGACTTACTTTTTAACAGAACCACTCTGGCTGCTGTGCAGATAGCAGGCTAGCACAGGGCAAGGTGGAAGCGAGGAGCCCAGTGGACAGGCTGCTGGAACACAGGCCAAGTGAGCAGTGGCCAGGGCACTTGGGTCAGATGCTGGGGAGCAGCTTCTAAGTCAGTGCAGCTAAAAGGATGTGTATTGAGCCCATTACTCGGGGCCAAGCATAGGGGAAGTTGGTAACAGCTACCTATTTCTTGAGTACCTGCTGTAGGCTGGGCAACATTTTGTTTTGTTGGTTTTACCCTCTGCCTATATAATTGGCGTGTGTATCAGAGAAAGAGGGAAAGTGATTGATTGCTAGAAGCCACTGTAGTTAAGAAGAGCCATGCCCCTTGGGGTCTGAGCCCTGTGGCAGATCCCACCTGCCCTATTGGGAATACGGGCTTTCCCACCGTGGGATGGCCCAGGTTCTCACCCATAGGGGCTAGACAGGATCAGGGGTGTCCCCCAGGTTGGTTGCTTGGTGTCTCGGCAGCCATTGTTTTCAAGGCTGTTCCATCTATCCATATCTATCTCCTCTACCAGGTTTTCATTGTTCCTCGAGTTTCCAGGAGGTCCCCAAGCCTGAGGGTTTCTCAATTTGAGGGCTCAGTGTGTTTCCTTCACACATCCCATCCTGGGTTTCAGAGATCTGAGAGTGTGCGAGGGAGATGTGCCGGCGAGGAGGCAGGGTCTGGGTAGCATTGGCCCTGTTGCATCTCAGAGTCTCGGGCTCCTTGTTCCTGGGTCCCTGATGATTAGGATGGGGTGGGAGGCACAGGGCTGGGCTTCTTCCCCTCCTGGCCATGCCCACTGCTTGGCAGGCCTTCTTGGCCATAGCATCCATCGCTGAGATGTTACCATATTCCCAGTGGAGGGCACGCTGGGCCTTATCTTTTTAATCCCTGGCACAGTCCTTCAAGGTAGGGACTGTGTTGATGCCCACTCTGCATGTAAAGGACCCTGAAGCTCAGAGGATGTAGTCTCTTGCCCAGTCTCAGGGTCCCCCAGCAGAGGTGGGATCCAAAGCCAGGTCTCTCTGACTCCCAGCCACAGTGAATGGTGGCCTGAGTGGTCACATCCAGATCCTCTGCCTCCCCCTTGCTCCCCACAATGCCTCTCTTCTGCCAGCTACCAGGATATCTCTGCCTCAAACCAGGAAATCGCCATCTCCTCACACATCTCACGCTTCTGGGTACTGGTTTCACCAGTACTGTGGGGCTGCTGCCTGCTTAAAGTTCTTTGGGGCCAGAAGGGTCTGGAGGGTTGTGTGGGGATAGGGAAAGGCTCCTGATTTATGTGAGAAATCCAGCCAGGCGCGGTGGCTCACGCCTGTAATCCCAGCATTCTGAGAGGCCAAGGCAGCAGGATCACCTAAAGTCAGGAATTTGAGACCAGCCTGGGCAGCATAGCAAGACCCCATCTCTACCAAAAATTTAAAAAAATTATCTGGGCATGGTGGTGCACCTGTAGTATCAGCTACTCTGGAGGCTGAGGCGGGAGGATCACTTGAGCCCAGGTATTTAAGGATGCAGCGAGTTCTGATCACACCACCGCACTCCAGTCTGGGCGACAGAGCGACACGCTGTCTCTAAAAAAAAAAATCCTGCAGAAACCAAGTCTCTTTGTCCACCCAAGACAGGCCTGAGGCCTCCAAAGAACACAGGAGGAGCCCTCTGATGCCTGTCCCATCCTGGGCAGGGCCAAAGGCAACTCTCCCAGCTGGGGCGGTTCTTTTCACACCCACCCAAGGTGCCTGCACCTAGCAGGCACCCAATTCCAAGGGACTCTCCCAGAAGGCTGGGACAAGACTCCTCAGTGCAATGATCTCCTTTTTCTCCTAGTCCACCTTCTTGAGTCTGATGACCTCCACAGCCAGTGAAGCCGCATCCTATGAGTTCACCACTCTGACGTGTATCCCTGGGGTCATTGAAGTAAGTGGGGTGTGCTGGGCACAGAAGCAGAAAAGGTGTGTGCTTGCGTGTGCACTTGCATGAATCGTGTGTGTGTGGTCTAAAGGTGGGTGTCCCTGCATGGGGGCAGGCTCTGGACTGAGCTGCTCTGCCCTCAAGCACTGGCACTTCTGAGGATCGTGGCTGCTGGAACCCTGGAGATGCCTGGCAGGTCATGGAATCAGGAGGTCAGGACAGCACACGGCGGCTCTGCCTGGTGCCCCGTTGTGTTCCCCCACTGCCCCAGCTCTGGTCACTAATTGCTGGTTGGCTGGATCCTTCTGTCTCCCATGAAACTTTAGAGCCTTGGGTGGTGGTTGCCTTGGGCAGCTGGGTGTTATGGCCTTGAGTCTCCCACAGGGACGCAATTTATTTGTGAAGAGTGTCACCCTTGGTGATGAGTGTTATGGGACTGGGAAATCTCACCAGCCCTCCCCAGGTGGCTGCTGAGCTCATAGTCTGTGGTCTGCACCAGGCTCGGGTGGCCACAAGGCTCAGATTTGGCCATGGGTTGACACCTGCGTTTCCTACAGCTCCTGAGCATGCAAGTGGGGCCACTGCAGGTGTCCTGGGTGCAAGCAGGCCCTTCCCGTGGTGACCCAGCCTCCCCTTTACCGTTTATCTCTTCTGCATCCTAGTACAAAGGCGCCAACATCCAGCTCCTGGACCTTCCTGGAATCATTGAAGGCGCAGCCCAAGGTGGGAGGCAGGGACGGACGTGTGGGAGACAGGGTGGGGCTCTGTTACTGATTGCTGAATTGAGTGTGGCTGTTGTGATCACCACGGATCTGTTTCTGTTACCCGTTTTCCAGAAAGGACAGGCTCAGTTCAAATGCTGGCACCACACAAGCTTTGTGATCTTGGGCAAGTGATTGAGTATCTCTAAGCCAAGCCTCAGTTACCTCATCTGTAGAATGGGCGTGATAATACTGAATTTACAGCATAGTTTTGAGGATTGAGTGAAGAAATGTGGGTGCACATAGCCTGGGGCCTGCCACACAGAATGGTGAGGGCAAAACAGCTGTTATTATCCTGTTATTGCACTTAAGGCACTGATGTCGGGTTTCCTTCTAAAATAAATCTCCGTAAGTATAACAACATGTAGATGAAAGAGAAAGGCCAAGGATGTCAGCTTGGGGGTGGCTTATGGCATGTGGTAGGTCTGTAAAGGACAGGAGTTCAGGGTGCCATGGGCCAGGCGGGGTCACAGAGGTCCTGCCTATGTCACTGTTGCCTTGCCAAGGTATAACCACATCCCTTCCACCTGTCCAGGGAAAGGCCGTGGCCGGCAGGTGATCGCTGTGGCACGCACAGCCGATGTTGTCATCATGATGCTGGATGCCACCAAGGGAGAGGTGCAGAGGTCTGTGGGGTGGGGCATGGGGCAAGCTTACATGTCTGGGGAGAGCCGGTGTGTCCTTCAGCTCATGGTGGGTGGTCTGTGGGGTGTGTGGCCCTCTCACCAATGGGAGTAATGGCAGGACTTTCCATGGACTAAACCCAATGAGACCCAGCCTGGGATGGCCTCTCCTTGAGCCTGTGTCCAGCCAGTATGAGAATCTTGCAGCTAGAGACCAAGGAGCGTGGCCTGGCTCTGGCTCCTGCCTACAGAGGCCTGCGTGCCCTGTCACTGCCCAGATCCTACCAGGAGCCCAGCCCCAAGCAGCAGAAGCATTGTTCATCCATGCCCGCCAGCTGGGGGCACACCAGGCCTGCCTCTGCAGGAGCAGGCCAGGGGGGGCTCCTAGGGACCAGAGGAGCACCCATGTTTGGTCACCTCATGGGGGCTCATGCCACTTGCCTATGCACACCAACTATATACCAGGCCAGTCTCCCATGAACTGTAAAAAACTGCATTGGAGTTTAGAGGCTCCCCTGCAGCTCTCGGGTGCTGGGAAGGGATGTTCCCTGGGTTGCTGGGGGAGCGGGCAGAGGAGAGAGTTGGTCCCCTTCTGGGTAGGCAGGGGCTTCCTGTGTAACGGGGAAGCAGCTTCTGTGGGCAGCCTGTGAGGGACTCGTGGGGTGCTCTGCCCAGGTCTCTGCTGGAGAAGGAGCTGGAGTCTGTGGGCATCCGCCTCAACAAGCACAAGCCCAACATCTACTTCAAGGTGAGGCTCCTCTGGCCTGTGGGCCAGGCTGCAGCAGGGTTGGGCTGCATTGGCCTGCGGCCGTGGGGACCACTGTCGCTGCCCCTTGGTCAGCAACTCTCCCTTTCCTTCTCTTCTTCAGCCTAAGAAAGGTGGTGGCATCTCCTTTAACTCGACAGTGACACTGACCCAGTGCTCTGAAAAGCTGGTGCAGCTCATCCTGCACGAATACAGTATCCTCCCTCCAAAGAGAGGCACGGGAGGGCAGCCACAGCGGCAGGGCAGCCGGATGGCTAACGAGACAGGAGGCTTCTTGGCTCAGAGACCCCAATCCTCCTGAGCAGCCTCCAGGAAAGCTCAAGCCCAGCGAGGCAATTCCTGTCTCCCTCTGCCTGTGTGCCTGCTAAGCTCTAGACTGCCGGGCTGCAGTCTGGCTTAACAATGGCTTCCCGGCTCCTCACCGAGTACTAGGCACTGTGATGGCCAGGTGACATCAGGAAGAAAGACAGGGCGTCCTGAGAAATGGCCTCTGAGGACCGGGGGTTCCTGAGCTGGAGCAGCCTCAGGGAGAGTGGAGGGCTCTAAAGTGTTGTTGGGGGCTGGTTGGGTCCTGGGGCTCCAGAGGGGCCTCAGAGGCAAAGTTGTACTTGGCTAATGGCAAACTCTTAGAATCAGACCTATCTCATGGTGGGACAGGTGGTGAGCCCCTTGTCACTGGAGGTGTGCGAGCAGAGGCCGGACAGCACCGCCAGAAGAGAGTCTTGCATGGGGAGAAGCTGGGTTAGACCAGCTTTCAGATCATGCTTCTGGCACTGAAACCCGGGGTTCCACTGAGGTGCATTAGCAAGTATATCTTTTTCCTTGCCTAACAGTGAAGATTTAAGTTTGTTGATTGTTTTGCTTGTTGATTGAAACTTTTATATATTATGGTTCCTTTAGAGGAGGGAAAATGAGAGGGCTCCCCAAGCTTTAAAATCTTGTAAAATCTCACAAGCAGATGACTGCCAAGGTCCCTTCCAGCAAACATATTTCTTGCTCGGCTCTTTGGGGCCCTCCACTGAGGGGGCACAGGGGCTGCTGGCACACAGTTTGCCCCCTTAGTTGAACCCCTCCAGAGATCTTCAATGCAGAAGTGCTCTTCCGAGAAGACTGTTCCCCAGACGAGTTCATCGACGTGATCGTGGGCAACCGGGTGTACATGCCCTGCCTGTATGTAAGTGGCACCAGCGCCCCAGGGGCGCCACATAGCATGAGGAGCCCTGGCCCTGCACTACTCAGTCTTTCCTCTAATGCGTTTCATGAGTTCCCGGGACTCAGACAGCTGAGGGCCTCTGCGCCCCACATCAGGCAGGCTTCTGGGAGGAGCACAAATCCTGGGACTCTCCCATCCCTCCCCTCCCTTCCCCTCCACTCCCTCTTGGTGGCTGCTTGAGCCTTGCAGACATGGAGAGCCTGAAACCAGGTTTCCAGCTCAGCCTTTCCCTCTGGGGCCACTGGCCACACTGAGGCAGCAAGGGGAGGAAGGCTCGGCTCCCCGTGCCTTGGCAAGCCGAGGAGGAACTGTGGGCAGGTGCAGGCCCATTGAGGGCCTTTCCCACTTTGCCTCTTCCCTTCCCCACCACCCACCTCCACCTTTTCAATCTCAGGTTTACAACAAAATTGACCAGATCTCCATGGAGGAAGTGGACCGCCTGGCCCGAAAACCCAACAGTGTGGTCATCAGGTGAGGCTGCTGCACCATCCTGCTCTGCTGTCCCATCTCTGGGTTCTGAACCAGAGGTCAGGCCTCCCAACCACCTTGGCCGTGGGGAGGAGAAGCCGGCACAGTCTTTACCAACACACTGCCCTCGCAGGGCTGGGGTCTCCTCTCCAGGGCAGAGCACTTGGTTCACAAGGCCAAGGAGAGACGGCAGGAGGGTCCCTCCTGATAGCAGCTGGTGGCATTGGCCCAGCCAGCCCTGAATTGGCATGGGCATGGTGGGCAATGTCTGTTGGGCTCTGGTTAAGAAAACAGAGAAGGATTTCATCAACCCAGGTTGAATGGTTAAGAGGCTTCTTAGCTTAGTGGTGTGAACCTACCACTCGTGGTGCTCTCGAAGGTGTGGCTTCTGTCTGATCACAGCTCAGAGGGAAAAGGAAACTAAAGTTCTCAGGCAGGCAGGGTCCACCCACTACTGCCTGGCAGGGTTCTTTTGGGGCAAACGGATTCATGTGCCCCACTTTCCTGGTTTCCCAGCTCAAACAAGGCACTCGGCAGCTTCACAGTGAGGCTTGGCTTCCAGAAGTGAGATGCTCAAGACACCCAGTGAGGGTGGCCAGTGCAAATGCCGGCTGAGGATCCTGGCTGGCCAAGCACAGCCGTTTTGTGCGTGTTGCAACCACTGCAAAGAGCAGGGTCCTTCCCACGAAACAACCTCAGCTCCTATTCTCCTCCTGCTGTATCCCAGGCCCTTCAGGGGCTGCCTGAGGACATGGCCATCCTCGGGCACAAGAGCATTTCCAAGGCCACCTGCCACACTTTTACCTGCTTCTGCTCACAACAGCCGTATGAAGGTCGGGACACCACTCATGGTCACACTGCTGCAGACAGGGTCCACCCTAGGACTGGGTGCCTCTAGAGCCCGAGTTCTTCCCTCTTCATGCTGAAACCTCTGCTGCTCCCCTGGGCCCCTTGGCAGCCCCTCTCTCCTCTTGGGGAGGGGTGAGCTCTGAATGTCAGGCATTCCCAGCCTCTGCCCATGATCCATCACGGCCCCTGGCCTGTCTCCCCATAGCACCCCCAAGTCAGTAACAGATGCTGTGGGCCCGCCACAGAGCACAGCTGCGCTGGCCCAGGGGAGACACTGAGCAGTTGGGTGTGGCCGTGTTTGGTGATCAGAGGCAGCTGAAGCGTCAAGCTGCCATCAGAATAACAGACTTATTTCCCCATGGGCACCAGTGGGGCCACCCTGGCCTTGGCACCTGTGCAGGCCAGTGGAGGTTGTCCCCTCCAACAGTGAGAAGCAGAGACCTCCAGCCTCCGACCCCATGGGGGCCCTGCCTGACTGGCCACCTTCGTCCCTGCAGCTGCGGCATGAAGCTGAACCTGGACTACCTGCTGGAGATGCTTTGGGAGTATTTGGCCCTGACCTGCATCTACACCAAGAAGAGAGGACGTGAGTTGGGCAGCCTGTGGCCCAAGAAACAGGCTGAGCCTCCCGCTGCCCAGGGGGCTGCCAGGCCTGCGCACAGCGCCCGGAGGCTCCAGTGCCAGCCCAGCCCGGCAGCACTTTTCCCATCTCAAAGTTAGGCACTGCTCTCCACCTCAGCCTGAGCCCGCAGGGCAGAGAATGCCAAGTTCTGGTCTTGAGCGTTCCCTGGGGGTCAGGGAAGGCAGTGGTCTAAGGCTGCCTGGAGTCCCCACCAGCTATAGCACTCACTGCCCTCCTGAGCTCCCCCTTAGGGGCAGGCCTCACGTCAGGAGTTTTAGGCAGCTGAATCCACGGGAGCCATCCTATGTCCCCACCCCACAGTACACACACACACACACACACACACACACACACCGGGGACCCAGCGGCTGAGTTTGGGGCAGTTTGCATCAACCCTAACTTTGTCTGCAAGGGGAGAGCCACAGCTTCCCTGACCAGACTCCAACAGCCATTTGCTCCCTGCCTGTTTGGATGCTCCAAGTGCTTTGTCAGGGCTGTCACGGCTGATGGGTGGCAGGCAGTGTGAATCCTGGACTTTGGTTTATTTTGATTCTCTGTGGTAAGGTCAAGGTCATAAAAGATGGCACAGGGATCTCTACTGAGGTGTGCTGCATAGCACAGGGGAAGTTAGGCCAAGGCTTGGGAGACCAGAAGGGCTTTTGCAGCCAGCTCTTCCCTTCATGGAAGGAGTCACAAAGCAGCAAGGGCCATGATATGTGGCCGACATGCTCTCCCCATCTCTCCCTGCAGAGAGGCCAGACTTCACAGATGCCATCATTCTCCGGAAAGGAGCCTCTGTGGAGCATGTGGTGAGTTGACCAGGCCTGCGTAGACAAGGGGTGGGAGCTCTGCGGGCCCCTGGGGGCTCCTTTCTACCTGGGCCACTTCTAGCCAGCAGGGCTGAGCTCAGCTCTCCTCACTCTTGGAAGCCGAGGCAGACTCTGGATTTAGGCAGCCGGGGGTCGTGTCCATACCACCCCTTCCTAAACTGCGTGTGGAGGCTCCATCCCTCTTCTGTGAGATGGGGTGATGCTGCCCACCTCCCTGGATAGTTGGGAGGCCACACTGAATGAGGTCCAGCGTGGAAGGCACTCAGCATGCTGCCTGGCACTAGGTAGATGCCATAAGCAGTGGTCTTGTCACCCTGCTCCCAGGGCTGTGGGCTCCTAAGGCCACTGCCATTCGAGTGTTCAGGTCAAAGAGAGCAACTGCCCTGGGGCCTTTCTGTATTGCTGTTCTCACAGTGGGGCTGGAACTGGGAGTCCAGGAGGGGCCCCCAGACCCCTTCTCGCCTCCCCCAATGGCAGAGCTGGCTAGGGCTCAGAGTTGCCACCTCCCATGGCCCCCACTCAACCCCCCCACCTGGCCCGCCCCTCCCTGCCCCCACATCCTGCCCCCAACCCAGGATGACTTCAGATATTTCATGCACTCAACACAGGTTTATTGAGCATCAACACTCAATGAAATAGCTCCAGTTCCTGTCAGACTGGGTCCTTTGGGATCAGAAAATGCCAGGCACCCAATCCCAAAGTCACACATACAGGTGGGGTGGGGTGTGGTGGGGTCCAGGTCTGCACACAGGTAAGGAGAGCAGCTCAGAGGTGACCCCAAGCTGGCTTGTTGAGCAAGGGGGGTCTGGCAGTGTAGAGTTGGGGTAGGCTGGGTGCAGTGGCTCACGCCTGTAATCCTAGCACTCTGGGAGGCCAAGGCAGGAGGATTGCTTGAGCTTGGGCGTTCGAGACCAGCCTGAGCAAGAATGAGACCCTGTCTCTACGAAAAACAGAAAAATTAGGTGGGCATGGTGATGGGCACCTATAGTCCCAGCTACTCGGGAGGCTGAGGCAGGAGGATCGCTTGAGCCCCGGAATTTGAGGTTGCTGTGAGCTAGGCTGATGCCACAGCACTCTAGCCCGGGCAACAGAGTGAGACTCTGTCTCCAAAAAAAAAAAAGTGTTGGGGCAGGGAGTACCCCAGGCAGGGGAGCAGGCAAGCACAGGCCCACAGGCTCTGGGCTTGGGAAGCATGAGTACATTTCCCTGTCCAGAACACTGTCACCTGAACATGATCCTGCAGGAGCAGGCGATGGTCCAGAGCCCAGGTCACACAGCCATCCTCCTGGTCTTTTGTTTTCTTAGATGTTGTTTTCCTCAAGCTCGGGATCTGTATCGTAGAGGCAAGGGACACTGTGAGACCCAGCCGTCCCTGCAGCCCCTTAGAAGGACAGTGGTGGGTGGGCCTGCAGTCTGGTCGCATGCATTTGTTCATTCAGCAAGCCCAGCCCGTGGCCTCTGGGTGCTGGTCTCAAGGTGCTAATGTAAATGAGGCTAGACCATCACATCTTCCTCAGGGCCTGGGCTCGAAAGTTAGCACGCCAAGCAGGAGCCAAGGAGACTCAAGATTACCCTCCTGAATCCCTTCAGTCACTCACAAGGAGCTCCTTGTTGGAGGCTCCATCCCCCAGGCCTGTTGGAGAGCCAGGAGCCCAGCAGGCTATAGACACAGGTGCCTGGGAAGAAGCGCAGGGTGTTGCAGGCAGCAGGGATAATAGGTGCAAGGCCCAGAGGCACAAGTGAAGGAGGGCAGTGCCAGGCAGAGGCGACAGGTGCTGGGCCTGAGAGTGAGGAGAGGTGGGGGATGTCCCACAGAGGCCCGCTCCTTCCGTCGTCACCTCCCTTCCAGCTTGCCCTCCCCAGGTGCCTCCCTCCAGGACACTCACCTGTCCCAGGTTTGAGGAGCTATAGGTAAAAGGCCTGCCCTGCCCACAAAATTCATTACAACCTCGGTGCTGACAACAGAAACCCAAAGAAGGTGAAGCAGGTAGACATCGAGCCAGCCAGACCTAGGCAAGCTGAATGAAACAAAACCCATTTATAGGCCAGAAGAGACCAGAATCAGTTGGCTTCCCTCATGTGTCAGGGAAGTGTTCTTGCAGGCTTGACATCTGCCTCTTCCCCTGGGAAGCTGGGCTGAGCCGTTTGGTCTTTGCCCTGTAAGACTTGTGGGCATGTGGGAGAAGGAACAACACAGCAGTCTTCTTCTCGCTGCCTGCCCCACTGTGACTGCCACCATCACCGTGGCAACGACAGGGCAATGGCTGGCTTCTTCCTTCAGGGTCTCCTTCCGGCTTCCTGAGAGCGCTGGGATGCCTCTGACCTCCCTCCCTACCCAGGAGTGCTGACGGCGCCATCTCGGGGGTGGAGGCGGGGTGATGTGCCACAGCTGGGGCTGGGAGGGCCAAGAGACAGTGACCAAGCAGTGGTGACTCCAAGCTGTCACCCTGTCCCATTCTGAAGGAGCATCTGTTCAGATGAGGCAGGCGGAGGGCCGCTAGCAGCCAGGTCTTCAACCTTGCTCTGACGGCTGCGGGCACATTCCTAACCGTGCACTGCAGCTTCCGGGCAGGCGTGGGAGTGGGACCCACTTGCAGCTGGGACTAGGAGGCTGCATGTGAGTCAAGCATGCGTCATTTCTTGACCCAAGGACTGGACTGTTGGTGCTCCACACCTGCCGTGGGAACTGTTGCTTTTTGGCACATCCCCTGTGCTTTGGGTGTGTGGCCAAGCTCGGGTGGGGTTGGGTGTAGCCTTGTCTTCCGATCTGACACTTTTGTCCTCCAGTGCCACCGCATCCACCGGTCTCTCGCCAGCCAGTTCAAGTACGCCTTGGTGTGGGTGAGTCTCTGGGTGGGAGGCACGGTCAGACCCAACACAACATTCAGAGCAAGGCATTCACACTCTGCTCAGTGTCCCTGTTCTTCTGTGGGGACCAGCGTGTCTGTCCTGTTCCATGGAGTGTGCATGCCAACCCATGCTGGACATAGGCTTCCCTGACCTTTGAGATCAGGAATGGTCCCCACTGGGGATGTCCTGCTATCTGGGGCCCCTGCTGTTCACACACCTCCACCTTCCTCCAGTGACATCCCCCTTGGCCTTGGCCAGTCTAGGCTGACATGATCCCTCTGCCACCATTTCTCACCCAGGGCACCAGCACCAAGTACAGCCCGCAGCGGGTGGGCTTGACCCACACCATGGAGCATGAGGATGTCATCCAGATCGTGAAGAAGTAACAGCTCCTCCCGGGCCTCCCGCCCACCAGACTCATCTCCCTGGGAAGTCGGACCCACTGGGACACACAATCGCCCAAACAGGGAAAACGCAAACACACACACCCCAGGAAGTGGTCCCTCAAATCTGCGGTTTCCAGACGTTTCTTCAGTAGGCAGATGATGAAGTGTGTTGGGGCAGAGGGGCAGGATCGGGGCATTTCCCAAGGTTGATCCCTCTGCTGGGGCTCTGAGTTTGGGGCCCTGGGCCTGCATCTGGACCCCCAGCCCCTTCAGGCAGTGAGGGGGCAGGTTGCCCAGCTGCTCCCAACCATGGCCTAACGGACTCATGCTTAGTGCTGGGCAGGGAGCTGGGCCTACCTGGGTCCCTGGAGGTGGTGGTCACTGTCAGGGCGCCTGCTACTCCCTCAGCCCCTGCCAGCTTCTCTGGCACTCAGGGTTGGGGGGCCCTCCCAGGATGAAACTCCCCTGTCCCCCACACACAAAGGGCTGTCCCATGGTGGGAACCAGAAGGTAGTGGCTTCAAAGGCCCAGCTCACACCCTCCACAGCCTGAGTGGTGTCTTAAAGTGCCTCCTCCCATACCTTCTAGGGCAGCCCCTGCCCAGCACAAAACCCCAGGACCTGGGTCTGCACCCCTTGGCGGAGACTTCTGTATTTTCTCTAAGCTCCCAACTCTCCTTTCTGAAATAAAGTATTAAAAACCGTTCCCGTTTGGACTAAGGAACATTTTGTAAGCTTGCTGAACTCTGTTGCCAGGTTGGTGGGCGTTTGGGGGAGCAGTGAGCTTGGCGGCCTAAGTGGGTGTAGCCTGGGCCCGTGGTGCAGGCCCAAGCCTGGGGTGGCAAGGAGAACGCAGGGGTCCTCACTCAGGCTGGAACGGGCCCAGGAGGTTGGCCAGGGTCTGCAGGCCCAGACAGCCCTCTGGAGGGGGTCTGGCTGCCAGGGTAGGCAGCATCCCCAGGAGGCCCTGTGAGAGCCCTTGGGATGGCAGGGAGGCTACCCTGTGAGAGCAAGGTGGCTGGATGCATTTCCCGTTGCCTCAGAGGCCAGGGGTGGAGGGGTCACCAGGTGCTCGCTGAGTGCCCAGTGTATGCCAGGGGCTGTACCGGGCCACCCGCACAGCACCCTGTTCTCCATGGGGTGCGACTCCCTGTAGGCTACACAGCTTGTGAGTGTAGAGCCAGAATTTATTAATAGGACCTCTGAGTGGCAAGGAAGGCTTCCTGGAGGAGTTGCGCCTTTTAGGGTGGATGCAGCAGGTACCGTGTGGCTGCCAGGAGGGGCCAAAAGCTCCCCTGGGAGGCCTCGGGCCAGGCTGGAGTGTGGGACAGGCCCACTGCTCAGCTCTCCAGGCTGTTCCTGCCTTCCCTGTCAGCTGCTCACTCCTTTCCAGAGACAAAACAGGAATAATAGACATCATTAAATATACATGGGGCCCCAGGCGGTTGGCGTGGTGGGCTGGGCGACACTGATCTGCTCTGCTGGGCCAGCCGTGCTCCTGGGGGCCAGCCACAGGACCCCCATTAGGCGGCATGCAGGCGGGGAGCAGGCCACGGGACCCAGGTAAGGGGGCCCTAGTTCTGGGTCCTTGGGGTCTGCCCAAGGTGTGTCTTTGTAGGTGTGTGGCCCCCAGGTTGCAGGGGAGAAGGCAGCAGGGGGCGGCAGCAGAGCTGGGGCCTTTTCCCCTAACTCAAGGAGGCTCTTGTCTGAGCCTCACTTCCTCCACCTGTGAGATGGCGTGACGATGCCCACGCAGTCCCCGTCTGGCGATGAGGGCATCAAGACAGGCCAGTGCTTGGTGGCTCACCTCAGCCCCTGTCCCGGCTGCCCTGAGGCCTGGCCGTGAGACCCTAAGTGAGGGTTTCTGCCTGTGTGATGGTCATTCCCACTCTCCGCCTCGCAGGCCGGGCCGCTGGGCCCAGGGAGAGGCAGGCAAGGCCCTGAGTTCACAGGGTGTCAGGCCAAGTCCAGGCCTTGGGTGGGATGCAGGCCTATTCTGTCTCCCAGCTGGCTAGGAAAGGGTGGGAGGTGAGTCTGGGGGTCTGGAGGTCCTCAGGCAGCAAGGGCTCAGGCCAGAGGCTCGGCCACTGGGCCACCCGTGGTCCTCACTGGGCCGGGCCTGTGCCCATGGATCAGGGTAGTCCACGCATCCATGTCGCGTCCTGGGCTTTCTAGGTGTGTGGTCGGCATGGTTGTACTGTCTACACCTGTGTGTGGGAGAGAGGGGTTGTGCAGCTGTGCATGCCCAGGTCACTGTGAAATGGCAGCTCATGGTGCCCTTAGGGTTAGGGAAGGCCCCTAAAAAGCCCCAAAGTTCCCTGACCCACCCCCAGGGTAAACTCCAGGCTTGGGTCCCACCCGTCGGCCACCCGGTTCCCATCACTCACCCTCCCTGGCAATTACAGGAGGGGCCTGCACTCTCGCTCAGGCCTGTCCCCAGGCAGCAGGCCTGCGCTCAGGGGTGGCTTCCTGTGGACCCCCAGGGGTGGCCTGACCTGCAGCTTTAGAAGACTCAGGTGTGCAAAGGAGCCGAGGGAGTGAATGCTCGTCAGGCTGTCCCTTGCCTGTGCATTCCTCCGTTCTCCACGCACCCCTGCGGCTGAGATTCCACAGCTCCTCATGCCCGCACTTTCCTTTGGCAAGAAAGCTCGGTTGGGGCCTCTTCTTCCCCGTCTGTCCCTCTCCCGGACAGCTCACCCACCCCAGCCCGATCTGCTGCATGTCGTCCCTTCGAGTTCCAGACCTGGGTCCAAACTGACCCCTTGACTCTCCACTGCACTGTCCCACAGCCACTGCAAACCCACTGAGTCCCAGACCAAACGTGGCATTCCCACGTGGCCCCACCTCACCTCAGAGATGACTCCTCTGCTCATCCAGCCTCGCCAGGGCAACCCCAAGTCCACCTGGCTCCACCCTCACCCCAGCCCCATCCAGCCCCTCGCCAGGGCCAGCCTGTTTCAACTCATCCTGAATGTGTCCACTGCACTCCCTACAGCCCGGTCCCAGCCAAGCCACTGTCCCCGTCCCATCCCTCTCCACATGGTGGCCCAAGAGCCGCTTTCCAGACCACTTTCCAAGAAGCGATGTGAGGCAGGGGTGGAGAGCATGGACACTCTGGAGCCAGGCTGCCTGGGCTCAACGCTGGTTTCAAGCTGTATGGCCTCAGGCAGCTTGAAACCTCTCTGGGCCTGTTTCCTCATCTGAAATGAGAATAACCATCCCCACTTCAGAAGGTTGTGGTGACAGTCGAGTTCCGTGTGGCCTGGCAGTTCTGAACACAGGCCCCATCGCTTTCTGGCTGTGGGCTCTTGGCTGAGAAATCTAACCTCTCTAAGATTGAGGCCTTCATCTATAAAATGTGAAGACCAGTTTCTATCTTACATATGTGAGAATCTAGTGAGATTGTCCCAAAAAGCATTCGGCACAAAGCCTGGCACACAGTGAACATTGGCAGTGTCGGTTATTTTCATTACTTTCAAATTGCAAATCCGTTCATAGCAATACTGTAAGCTTAAAGCCTTGCTGTGGCTTCCCACTATTTTGGGAATGGTGACCAAAGTCCCGTCCCAACCTCCACTGCCTCCTGGGGCTGGTCCCTGCCTGCCATCCTGGTCACTTCTCATTCCACATGCCCCCCATCACATGCTCCAGACACAGGACTTTCCTTGAAGCCGTTCCTACCACCTAGCCTTTGCACATGCTATTCCATCTACCTGGAATGCTGTTCCCTCTTCTATGTGATTGGCGCCCTCTCCTCCTTCAGATCTCAGCTCAGGGTTGCCTTCTCAGGGGAACCTTCCTGGACCTTCAGTGCAGTGTTTGCCCACCTAGAGTCATGCCCTGACCTTCACAGCTCTTGTTCGTGTAGCTCTTTGTTTAAAGTCTGTGCTCCCTATGACATGGGAAACTCCATGAGCGCAGGAAACATGTCTGGTTCCACTCAACTTTGTGACCCCCTAGTGCCCAGCACAGTGCTCGGCACATAATAGATGCACAACTAATATTTGAGGAATGAATGAATGAGAAACTTGCTCCCTGATACCCCTCTTTGCCTGTGCAGAGGCTGGGGGCCCTGAGAGGGAGGCAGCCCCTGCTCACCACTAGCTTGAGCTTGGGCCCCCAAGACCAGGAGAGGTCAAGTGGGTGGGCCTTGCCACCAGCAGTCACCCAGACCACCCCCACCCCAAAGCAGACAGGGTAGTGGCCTGCAATGACAATGCTGACAATCATAATGGCCACTTACCCAGGCCAGGCACTGTACCCAGCTCTCTGTTTCTCATTTAACATCCACATCAGCCCCAGGAGGCGGTGGCACTGGTAGCACCTACACCTACGGATGAGGAGACCCTGGTGCAGAGGCTGTGTGACTTGCTGTGGGTCAGATCAGGGACAAGAACGAGACCTGACCCAGAGCTCTGAGCCACCCCACTCTGTATCTCCTGGGCTCTGTCTCTGGGTGCTGTTTGTCTTCCTCCTCCTTCAGCTGGGCTTGACTCTGTGGCCAGCAGTCTCTTCATCTGGACAGGAGGGCTCCAGAGTGAAAAGAAGCCTGCCCAAGAGTTTGCAGCGGGACCTGGGCAATGGCGGCCTCTCAGCCTTTCCCCTGGACAAACTCCAGGCAGACAAAGACCCCCATTGGGGCAGGGAGGGGTTGTGGCTCTAGGAGGCGTCCTTAAGCCTGAAGGGCTAGCCCTGTCCCACTTCTCCCCTGCAAGTCTCTAACCGCTCTCTGCCTCAGTTTCCTCAAATGCCACGGGGAGCTGGGGTAGGGGGCAGGGCTGGACCTTGTGGCCTCGGACCTTGACATGCTTCCTGGGAACCCCTCTAAAGGGGTGTTTCCACTCACTGTCTCCAATTCCTTTTTTTCCATTGTTATTTTTTCACTTTTTAAATGTTACCTTTTTTGTTTGTTTGGAATCAGAAATGCATTCATATGGTTCAAAAATCAAACTGCTAGAGAAAGGTTTACAGTGAGATAACCATTCTCATTAAGTTCTTGCATATCTTTCGCAGTATCTCTGTATGTAAATAAAAGCAAATACAAACATATTCTTACCCCCACACACACGCACACGCATGCACATGCTCCATACAGAAAGAAGGCCCGGGTATTCGCTGTAGACGAAGGCTGCACTGCATCCTGCCTCCTGCATCAGCAGATCCTGGCGCTCGCTCCCAGCAGGACACAGAGATCTTCCACATTCCATGTTCCAGCCATGTGTTGCTCCATCCTAGAATGCATCATGGTCTATCGTAGCAATGAGTGGCTCTGTGTGTGCCCCGTCCCTATGTGCACAAAGGGTGGATAGGACAGACTCCCACTCCCTCCCTCCCTTCTCCCTCCTTCCCTTCCTTCCTTTTCCTTGTTTTAAAAATCAAGATATAGGCCGGGAGCGGTGGCTCACGCCTGTAATCCCAGCTCTCTGGGAGGCCGAGGCGGGCGGATTGTTTGAGCTCAGGAGTTCGAAACCAGTCTGAGCAAGAGTGAGACCCCGTCTCTACTAAAATTAGAAAGAAATTAATCGGACAAACTAAAAATATATAGAAAAAATTAGCTGGGCATGGTGGCACATGCCTGTAGTCCCAGCTACTCGAGAGGCTGAGGCAGGAGGATCGCTTGAGCCCAGGAGTTTGAGGTTGCTGTGAGCTATGATGATGCCACAGCACTCTAGCCCGGGCAACACAGTGAGACTCTGTCTCAAAAAA